ACAGTGGAACATGTCACTAATCTGTCATGGGACAGTGGGAGAAAGTGTCTGGTGAGCTGTTTTTACCATCTGGAAAAGCACGGCCGCAAAGAAAGAAAACAGATTATTTTATCTGTGAGGTGACGAGAGCTGGGTTGTCTGGTGACGAGCGCTAAACTGTTTAGTTTCTCAATAACGTCAGTTTAATACGAACAGCAAACGTTAGCTGGTTCGTTACGTCAGTGATGGATCACACCGCCTCCTACCACATCCATGACAGAGCATATCACAGTGTTCAGACACCAGATAGCGACGACTGGATGTAGTAGTTTGATGGGTGAACCACAATATATCTGATGCTCGCTTTGTAAAAGCATTAACTGCAGTGTGAATCTCTCACACCAGACAAACAGAGTCCTCCTTTTAGGTACGTTTAAACTGAAATCAGTGCTTTATTGTGTTGTCTGATCTACAGTAACATCAGTTCGGCCGTGCTGTGTGAGTGATGGAGCGCTGATTCGAGTTAGCCAGCTGCTAAAAACAGCTAGCCTGGGAAACTAGCATTCTCCCACTCTCCAATGCCTCATATACAGCTTCCTTGGTTTACTTTCATTTAAATCAGGGCTGTAATTAACATGAACCACTTCTTTCTTTCACTTTCGTTGTTTGGGAATGCACTGATACTAAAATATGACTGAGCGCTGTAACAGTGCTGTAGCTGTGAGGAGCAGACGTGATTTAGCGCCGCTAAAGCTGTTAGGATGTACAGAAAGAGGCGAGTTCACCGTAGGACAGTACAGTACTGACCTCGTCACTCACACTCGGTCACAGGAGAACAGATCGCCGGTCGCGCCACTCAAACAGGGAATATATAACTCCACGTTTCAGACATTGCTAAAGCATATTTGACCGCTCATTTTACTCGTCGCCCCCTCCCTGTCTAATCATATTGAAAAACTCGCTTTCCATGCAGTAGAAAATGAGAGATGCTCTATTATATCGAACATTTATCGAACATTTCTTATATTTCTATCGAGGAAAGTTTGCGTTAATTATCGTTACCGTTTTATCGCCCGGCCCTACTTTGCATTATTTCAGATATGACACTGTGATCAGCTCGAGGAAGTAAAACAGTATTTCCAAAGCTTATTATTTTCTAAAGAAGCCTTACTGTTTGATGGGATTTGTTGAATTTTCAGGCTTGGCGAGTGAGTTTTTCTGAATGTGATTAACCAACAGTTAAAACTCTTACGTTGTTCTGGTTCATTTTTTTTAAAATTGTGACTACATTAGTGATTTTCTCACTACATGGCTCAGGATTTGCATTGTGTAGACCCCAGTTGACCACCCCAGTCTCTCTCCTCTACCGACCTTCCTTCTGCATGGCTGCTCTATAAGCTTCATTATGAAGTTGAACATTATAAACATAATTAATCTGTTAATTTTTTTATTTGCATGTGCTTAATGACTTAGGCTAGATTCAGTCTGAAGCAAATCCAGTAAAAGTTTATGCCAATGCACAGAAACTTTAGCCTGTCATCCAGCCAGGTTTGCTGCTGCTGTTGTTCTGTTTTTGTTTTTAAGTCATTATGAGATTAATATGGTCTGTAACGGCTCTGAGAAGTGAGTAAACTATGTACAGTGTACTTTAATTTTCACTACAGTCTTGCGTGACTCTGGCGCTGTGTAGGTAAAAATTAAGTGTCTGTGTTGGTTCTTTTCAACATAGAGTACAATCAACAACACAAGCAAAGCTATCTAGTGTAACGCTGTCATTAGCTAATGTTTTCATCTGCTGAGAGTGACTGTTTTACTGCATGAACCGTGTTCTCCACACACATCTACCTGCTTAATTGTAGGTTTTTGTTTGGGACTTTTCAGCCGTGCTGACTTACGTTACATCCATGTGCTAATGACAAGCTTGTTGAGCATCAGACAACGTTGACAAGCACACCCACACCCCCTACAGTGAGCTCCACCTTCACGAGCAGTTGGATTAGTTTAGAAGTTTCGCTCAGTTTGTTCCCGCTCTAATACGCCTACGTTCCCCCACATTGGGCTCAAAATTTCTCATGGTTGTTCCCCTACAAAATCCCGTCTGGCCCTGAGAGACTGGTACTGTGGTACACTTTTAAATGTAGAGTATTTCAGCAGTGTTTAAAGGAGAAATATGTAAGATGACGCAACCTGACAAATTCGTATTCCACAATCCAAACAACATATCACCAAAAAGCTGTGGTGTCCACTCCTGTCATAAGGAACAAGGAAATGTCCAGTCCGTCCTCTGCCGCCTCCTTACCAGTCTAGAAGAAACGCTATGAGTTCAGCATCAAACTTCATCCGTTCACTCACTGAGAGCTCCAGACTCCAGCAGCAGAGAGCAGCACCAGTGCTAACTCTTTAACTCTTATTCTGCTTCTGCTTATGTCTCTTCCTTTCTTCGCTGCTGAGCGTGATTTCTTGCGGTGGTGGTGATGATTACAGTCGCACGCCGGCAGCTTCAGCCATCATTGTGTTTACTGTTCTCATCGGCTACCTGATTTTAAACGGTATAACTGGGGGCGGGGACCTTCAACATTATTGACAGGAGATTAGAACACGCCCTCGCGGGCAGCGCTGCTTCTTCATCCTCTCATGTTGGACTGAAGGCAGACTCGGTGCTACAGTGTCTCACCATCGCCTCCAGAGGTACAAAGTGGTATTAAGAGAGAGGACAGGCCGGGGCTAACGTGACGTTAGTGACTAGGATGTGCGCATGAGGGTCATTTCAGGATGTCGGTTCGTTCACATTAATGACCTGCATGGGCACATCCTGCTCAGTAACATCAAGTGAATGAATCACGTTCATCATCGGCACAAACTAACGAGCAGAACGAGCTTCGCTGAGAAGATAATTAACTGATTTGTGTCCACACAGCCCTGAAAACATCAGATCTGAGTCACATTAGGGCAGAAAATCGGATTAGTGCTACTTCAGCCTTGTAATGAGGACATAGCCGTAGCCGAGACATGTTTGGTGTCTGAAGTTGCCTTTTTAGTTTTAGCACTAGAGCTAACGTAGCTAACAGCTCCTCAGCTGCTACTGACGGCGTGAATGGCTGTAATATTTACACTCCATCAGAGTCTGACGCTCGTAGAGAAGTTAAATGACATTCAGTTTTAGCTAAAACTGAGATGGTGTTTTTATTTTTAGCTAAAACAGTGCTGACTGTGGTCGTTTCGGTGCAGTGCTGGTTTGTTTGGTGCTCTTGGTTCCTGGTTGGTGTTCTGAGCGGAGCTGCTGTGTGTGGAGTTAAGCAGCAGGAAAGAGAGTCGTGCGAGGGGAAGCTGCTGAGTGAACCGTATGACTCCACATCTCAGAAATCTTTTCTTCTTTTTCCCTCTCAATGTGCTGAATGCAGAGTGACTCTGTCCCCCCCACCCCCACCTCCTCTGCTCACTCACTATATTTTATTGCCCTTAATACCCTGAGGGCTAAGATTTACTTTATTCTAGTACAGCACTTAATCTGTGGGTACGTCTCTCTCTCTCTCTCTCTCTCATTCTCTCTCTCTCTCTCTCTGTCTCTCTCTCTCTCGTTTTCAGTTCACTTGGTTGGTTTCCTCATTGTTGTCGTGGCTCAGGAAACTGACAAAATCTAAACCTACCAGCCGGTCAGACTCTCCTTTTCAGCCTCCTAATAAACCATCTTCTGTTTTATTTTCTTGACAAGATCACATGATGCGTTGTTCATGTTTTGATTGCCTGTTTCTTGAAACTTGTTTTCACAAAGTCAAGCTGCTAGCAACTGTTGCGGCTGAGTTTCAAGTGAGTCGCGAGATGTAGCTGCAGGTTTTCGTTCCAACAAAGCAGGAGATCACCTGATCTCCCTACTGATTAAAGTAGGGGAATCAGGTGAGCTCCAGCTTGTTTTGAAAGAAAACCTGCAGCTGCACTGGCCCTTTGTGGATAAGATTGGACACCCCTGCTTTCCGTTATGAAACTCGACGGCAATTTAATTTCACGTGGGTTTCAAGCAACTGAAGTTGCATGAAAGTTTCACCATACTTAGTATTCAAGCAGCTGAGGGAAATCAGCAGGTATTTGTTGGATGAATATGCCTCTAATTTTTCTGCCGCTCTGAACTCTCAGTGGCCACTATTTATCAGAAATGTTATTAGATAGCTTTAATCACACATTACCTTCAGTCGTGGTCACACCTGACTGTCTCCTCACTCTTCTCTTTGCCGAGGTGGAGCAAAAGTCAGGTGAGGATGGGCTGAACGATTAATCATTTTTATATCGAAATCGCAGTTTGAGCGCCGTTTTCAAATCGCAAGAGCTGCGATCTTAATTAAGCTGCTGTCAAACATTTTTAAGGAGGAAAATTAAACCTAATCATGCCAAACCTGTGAGCTGGCAGTCTGGCACAGCGTTCAGGCCTCAAGCCCAAAAAAACCTGTCGTGCTGGTCTTCATGAGGTGAAATAAGGCCTGGAGTTTAGTTTATGGAAAATAATCACAGTTAAACAGCAGCTACAATTAGATATTGTACCCAAACTATAAGTAGGCATGTCTCGGCATCTCAGTTCAGCAGTACTTTACTGGCATGAAAGTTGGTTTACTCCCAGTAATATAGAACCAAATAAAGGTTCTGTGATTTGTAACAATGGTGAAACCCTTTTTGGTGCTATGTAGAACCATTTCTAAAAGTTCTATATGTTTACATCTCCTTTAGAACCCTTGAAGAACCGCTTAATGGTGTAGTTACTTTTCTCCCTCCCCTTTCACTCATCGCGAGCAGCACAGAGTCACAGCGTTTCACACACAGAGAGACAACAGGAGTCCTAGTTAATGAAAAACCACAGAAATAGAACTGAAACTCAAAAACATTATTTCACTCAGATTCAGGTTGAGTGTTTTTATGGAGATGAATTATAATTAAGAACTGTTGCTAAAGCAATGAAAGGAATGTTCAGTGCTAATATTAATATCTCTCTCTCTCTCTCTCTCTCTCTCTCTCTCTCTCTCTCTCTCTCTCAGTCACTCTCACTCTCCTGGCTCCATGGCAGCAGTGGTGAGCTCTGATTGGTCGTGTGGCCGCTGTACGTTCCTGAACCCCGGCGGTTCTCCGAGATGTTCCATCTGTGAGGCTCCGCGTCATAAACCCGACCTCAACCACATCCTGCGGCTCAGCGGCGCCCCCGAGCCGCGCTGGACCTGCCCCCGCTGCACTCTCACCAACCACCACGCTGCAGGGGCATGCACCGTCTGCGGCTCTGCCCCCTCGGTCCCCAACGGCCCCACCTCACCAGCTCAGGCCCCGCCCACTTCCACAGTAGAGCCCACTTCCAGCTCAGAGCCGAGAGGACAGCAGGCCAATGAGGATTCCCGGGAGGCGGAGCCTAACGGAGAGGTCAGAGTGAAAGTGGGCGGGGATTTGTCCTCAGGGTGGGCGTGTCCTCGCTGCACGTTAGTCAACACTCCAGTGGCGATGTCCTGCTCTGCATGCGGCGGCCCGCGGAAGCTTTCGCTACCCAAAATCCCGCCTGAGGCGCTTGTCGTCCCGGAGGTCCGAACGCCTGTAACAGGGTTTCCTACGCAAACCGCAGGGGCTCCGAGCGCCCCGCCCCTTCTCATCGACCTCACAGAGGACTCTCCACCTCAAGTCCCCTCCGATTCACCATCTCCGCCTCCTAACACTAACCCCGCCCCCTTTTTGCCACCATCATTCTCTTCCTTGCAAAACAACCCTGTTCCTCGCAGCAGAAGGGAAGTCCCGCCCCCTGGAAGGCCGCCAAACTCCACCCCCTCTCCTACATCCCCCTCGTCTGCAGGCCCCGCCTCCAAACCTAAACCAGAGCAAACCTACCCTATTAAACGGCTTAGCGTGTTGGAGGAGGAGGAGCCCAACCATCCGACGGCTCCGGTTACATCTCCACCTTCCTGGAAGTGTCCAGGATGCTCCGCCCCTTCTGGTCCTTCTGTCTTAGCTGCTGGACGCTGCGATGCATGCAAGGGGTCAAGGTCAGGGTCGGGATCAGGGTCAGGGTCAAGCGGTGATGTCATCGACGTTCTAGGAGAATCGGTACGCTTCACACCAGCATCACCATCCAGCCCCGACTTCACTTCCTGGGCGTGTTCCAAATGTACGCTAAGAAATCCCACCGGTGCCGGTCACTGCACGGCCTGCGGATCGTCCAAACTCCATGGATTCTCCGAACCCTGCACGTCCTGCTCACGCAAACATGCGCACTCGCACCCGCAGGCTCGCGGAGGGGCTTCGGGGGCGGGGGCGGAGAAGGGCGGAGCCTCTCAGTGGGCATGTCCGGCCTGCACGCTGCTGAATGAGGGGCGTGTTAAGCACTGTGTTGCGTGTCACACAGCCCAGCAGTACCTGAGCCTGAAGCGCAGCGCTAAAGCCCTGAGGCGCAGGGAGAGCATGCACGTGGAGCAACGGCGGCGCACCGACGAGGGAGAGGCCAAGGAACTGTGGGAGAACATCGTCAGCTTCTGCAGGGAGGTGAGTCTGTGTAAGACAGAAAAACATAACGGTAAGAGGAAAGAGGTGGAGGATTAGAGCTGTTTAACTGCTGATCAACTAGGGATGCGCAGCCTGACTAATTTGGATATTTTAGTATCCGTACGAGTTCGTGAACGGATATTCACTCAACCATGGAGAAGGAAGAAACAGCGCAAAAAAGGATCAAATTAATGTAAGGCTCTTATTTTTAAGTGATGGAACAAAAGGTAGCATCACGCAGACCAGTATATTTTACAGAAACTTTCATGCAACTAGTCAAGTTACCTGGAACATTAATTACCATGCAACTTGCAATTTAAGCTGCATGCAACACATTTAGTTACTCCACTATTTAGCCAAATTAGCAGCTCGTGTTTTTTTATCTCACTAGAAAGTCGTCCATGATGTGTAATTTACACATCTGCAGCATTTTTATCATCTTGTATTTTCTCCAGCCACTGTTGTTCTTTATCCTCATGTCTATCCTCATTTGTCTTTATCTATCTGTTTAGGCTTCTTTACTATATATTAGTTTTTATCTGTTTGTATCTTAAGCCATTAAAAAAAATGGTTAAGTAGCCATTATGGTTAAAACCTCGTTCGATACCTCACTCTTTCTGTCCTAGAAGCACAAGTTCATCACAGACAGTTTACTTTTTCTGCAGTAATTTTCATCCGTTGGATTCAAAATGATTCTGAGCTGTAAAATTAGGTGTCAAGTCACGTAAAGCACGATAACACCAGCTTTGAAATGCTCATTGTTGTCGTGGCTCAGGGAAATGACAATATTAAAACTACCAGCCTTGAATCAGTCAGCAGAATCTCTTCTTCAACCTCCTAATAAACCATCTTCTGCTTTATTTTCTTGACTAGATCATATGTTGTTGATGTTTTGATTGGCTGTTTCATGACACTTGTTTCACAAAGTTGAGGCGCTAGGAACTGTTGCGGCTGAGTTGCAAGTGAGTTGCAGGATGCTTTATGTTATGCAACTCAAGGGCAGTTTAATTTCACGTGGGTTTCAAGCAACTAAAGTTCATGAAAGTTTCACCATATAAAGTCAGCCTTAGTGTTCAAAGTCAGCAGGTGTTTGTGTCGGATGAATATGCCTCAATTTTTTTCTTCTTTTAACTCTCAGTGGCCGCTGCTTTATTAGAAATATTATTAGATAGCTTTAATCACAGATTACCCTCAGCCGGTCACACCTGACTGCGCCTCGCTCTTCTCTGAGGTGGAGTAAACGTCAGGTAAGTTAGGGCTGAACGATTAATCGTTTTTATATCGAAATCACAATTTAAACGAGTGCAGTTTTCAAATCACAAGAGCTGCGATCTTAATTACAGCCCACATTATCAGCACTGCTGTCGAGCCTGTTTAAGGAGGAAAATTAAACTTAGTCATCCCGAACCTGTGAGCAGGCAGTCTGGCACACTTAGCATTCAGACCTCGAGCCCAAAAAAAACCTGACGTGCTGGTCTTGATGAGGGGAAATAAGGCCCGGAGTTTAGTTTATGGAAATTATTCACAGTTAAACAGCAGCTACAATTAGATATTTAACCCAAATACAAGTGGGCATGTATCTGTATTAAAAAAATTATCATGATAATTACCCAACATTTTATCACAGTTTGTGATATTATCACGATATGGCTTTAAAAAACATCACTTGAAAAATGTTTTTAATGTTATAAAGAAAAAATAAGGCCAAAGTGTGCTGCACAGAAAAACGTGGCAGTAATGATCACAAACTGCAAAACACACAAAACTGAATAACATCTAGCAAATATTTGTGCACAAAATCTGATTTTTGTTTTCCAAGAATCCTGTTTTGGTTTTTTGACTTGTGGTAAAAGCCTCAGCATCTGTTTTGGCTTTAAAAAATAAAAATAAAGTTGATACAGAAACTAAGTAGCAAAGCCAAGCAGCTTCACTCTTGTTTGTTTGTTTGTTTGTTTGTTTGCTCGGCTCTGGTGCCGGGTGCGGTGCTTGTATGTTGATAGAGACATGATGCTCATTGGCTACGTTCACATTACCAGGCTGAAATGGCACAAATCCGATTTTCTGCCCTAATGTGACTCAGATCTGATGTTTTCAGAGCTGTGTGGACACACAAATCTGATCCTTTCAAATCCGACCGAGCCACTTGGTCCTAGATCAGATACGTATCCAATTTGTGGCCATGCAACCTTAATGTGACGCTCAGAATTTCATGTATTGAAGATGTCGTAATAATAAAGATTAGACACGAAGCATGATCTGTTACCTGCCTCCTCAATTGAGACGAGTCAGAAGGGAGGCAGGGTAAGGAGAGGAGGTTTAGGAGAGGAAAAACGGGACGTCCCAGCCATAATATGGTTAAGAATTTTGTGTAATTATTATAACTTTAAAACATACACAGATTTTATCTCTGCTGCATCACTCTGAAGATCCCGCAGCTTCTCCTCGTCTTTTGTATTGGCTCACGGTTCGCAGATCTGCCTACATGAGCTCGCCGAAGGGAAACCACTGGACGCAAATTCCCTTCTGGCGTCTGCCTGTCTTTTACCACTGAAGTGAAGTGGCTTTTTCGCCAGGCAGACTTCACTGGCGTTCGGTGTGACCGCTGCTCTAATCTCTCTGTCCTGTTGTGGGTCTGATCTCAGAGGCTGGACTGAGGGAAGCAGGTGCTCCTGTGTCACACGCCATGTATTTATATACTCACTCTGCTGCCTCTATCAGCATGTGGTGATGATGTTATTAGCAGAAGTAGCAGGCTTGGTTTTATATGGTTAATCTGTGCGTGGATCACAGACTCATCTCATTCTATCAAACAGGCTCATCTCCTTCTATCAGGGAAATCAAAGAGATGTAATTATTTCTATTAAACTGTGAGTATTCTGCTGTCTTTCACTTAGTCTGTCAGCATCTCTCTCTCCCTCCTCTCTCTCTCTCTCTCTCTCTCTCTCTCTGTCTCTTCCATCTCTCTCTCTCTGCCCCCCCCTCTCTGTCTCTAACCTCCTTCTCTCTCTCTCTATCTCTTCCATATCTCGCTCTCTCTCTGCTCCCCCCTCTCTCTCTGTCTCTAACCTCCCTCTCTCTCTCTTTCTCTAACCTCCCTCTCTCTCTCTCTGTCTCTTCCATCTCTCTCTCTCTCTCTCTGTCTCTCTCTCTCTCTGTCTCTTCCATCTCTCTCTCTCTTTCTCTCTCTCAATTCAATTCAATTCAATAAGCTTTATTGGCATGACCATATTCAGTTACAGCTTTGCCAAAGCATCATCAAAAAGGAACAAGAAAAATGAACATTTAGAACAGAGTGTATGAACTCTTAATTTCATTTGATGTAAAAATAATTATGAGAGAATCACATAAAAGAACAGTAAAATAGTCATTTGGAATTAGGTTGTAAAGAAAATTAAGAGGAAAAGAGGAAATAAATAAATAATAATAGAAATTTAAATAAAAGATTACAAACAGGGCAGTTTTGGATATTGTGTGTGTGTCTCTGTCTGCCCCGCCCCCCCCTCTGTCCGCCCCCCTCTCTCTCTGTGTCCACTCATACTAAGGTGAACTCTAAAGTATATTTTTAGAAACAGTTGTAGCAGCAATTATGTTCCGTCCCCTAAAGAGAAAATAGTACCATCTCCACCTTTCTCACCTACACACACACACACACACACCACACACACACACACACACACACACACACACACACACACATATACACCACAGGTCTGAAAGGCATCATTTCAGCATCAGTCTCTGCTCTGCCCACGGCTCTATGACTGAGTGATGTGGAGAGTGTAATTGTGCCACAGCAGGGCGGTGTAGTGTGTAACTATGTGCAATAAGAGGACAGTTTATTTATATATATGTGTGTGTGTGTGTGTGTGTGTGTGTGTGTGTGTGTGTGTGGGCAGTATGATGACATATGATATATTATCATTACAGTCATCTGAGGACATGCCGTCACTGATACGGATGTATACGGGTACTCGGGTGCTTGAGGTGCGTCCCAGTCGCCCTCATAGTTCCTGCAAACTGCACTGCACAGTGTATCCAGACATTTAGAGTGATCACAAACCACAAGGAGTGAAAAAGTAGTTCCGTTGGAAGGGAACTTCAGACTGCACAGGGAGTGAACATCAGGAAGCTGCCGGAAAGTTTCCCCATCAGTCATTGCAGGTCTCTCGAAGATGTAGGTTTGATTATGATGCTGTAGGACGTTCTGAATGAAGGTGTTTATCAAATGCGACATCCTGTATTCAGGTGTGTGGGGAATGTAACGGTACAGCTGAGGGACCCTGTGGGGTGGAATGCAGCTTTGGTTAACCGTTTGCCCCCTCCAGAAAAAAGCAGAACAGACCAGCATGCTTTCCTTCAGTCAGTCAGTCAATCAACCTTTATACATTGAGGGAGACCCTCATTTACAAGGTAGCTGAGCCAATACAGAAATCAGGGATTGAGAAGTTAAATAGTAAAAACATAACAAATGCTAAAAGGTAATAATAATCTTAGTAGTAAGTAAATAAATAAATTTCATATATATATATATATGTATGTATGTAAAAGCAACATAAAATTATATAGAAAATAAAAGGTGTAAAACGATAGTTTGGTATCATTAAAATAAATAAGAACACAATAATAAAAATGAGCAATAACTAAAAACAAACCAGAAATCACTTGAAAACTTAACTAAAATCAGGTAAAACAGTGTCTGGCTGATTGGAGGTGGTTTGAGACTAAAAGTTTAAAATGTTCATGTGACTCCAGTGAGCGAATCCTTAGAGATTCCTGAAATGAATTCCAGTTTAAAGCAGATTTTCCCAGTTCAGTAAAAACTCTGGGCACCTGAAGGGTGATCCAGTCACCGGAACGGGTCTGGTAAGATGCATTATTTCCTTGCTGATCTAAGCTGGTCAGTACTGGTAAAGGCTGGTCTAGTGCTGGTCTAGTGCTGGTTAATCTCGTCACCCTGCATGGTCCTGCTGGTTGACCAGCATATCAGCATCCGAAACGCAACATATTATAGCAAATTATATTCACCGCCGTTCACACAAGTCATGGTGCTTTATCCTCCGGCCCTTGTTGGCCACAGCCACGCCGTACATAAGCAGGGTTTTCGCTAACAGTTCGCTCTAAGCTTAAGCTACACCTTCACAATAAGAGTCCTTATCAGAATAACACTGTAAGCAAATGCTGAAGAACTAATAACCCAAACCGACATGTCCAAAGCGGTTCTGTAACATGCTATAATATCGTCGCTGTCCAAACAAAGTTTATTTGATTTTTATGTTTCTACATAATGTGAGCAGCAACTGCAGCAGTTGTGTGAAAAGTTCATGATGAATTGACGAACGAAACTGCTAAACATTTTGGAATAAAAATTTGCTGGTGATAAAACTTTAAACATTAACATTAAAATGTGGCGCGTGCAGAAGTTATGGCACATTTTATATTTTATGTCAGGAGGTTAGGGAACCAGTCTTGTGACCGGAAGGTTGCCGGTTCGATACCCTCAGGCAACAGTACGTGACTGAAGTGCCCTTGAGCACCTAACCCCCAACTGCTCCCCGGGTGCCATGGATAGGGCTGCCCACCACCTTGGGCAAGTGTGCTCACTGCCCCCTAGTGTGTGTGTTCACTAGTGTGCATGTATGTGGGTGTTTCACTGCATTCCTCTGTGTGCAAACACAGTTGGCTGATGGTTCTGAATTCTATTTTCTATTCTATTCTGTGTGCAGTAGTGTGTTAACTTGTTCATTAACTTCTTTTCACTCGGAGAGTGTTACCTGATATCCTATGGGGTGGTAGATCCTGCCGCTCATCTGTCTACCGTCATAATGTAAACGCAACAGTATGTTACATTTTTACCATGTGGCTCATCGTTGATTGTGCTTGTGTGCAGAACGCGGTGAACTTCGTGGACGACAGTTTTCCCCCCGGTCCACGGTCAGTGGGCTTCCCCGAGAGTGACAGCGTCCAACAACGAATCAAGAAGTGGCTCCGCCCCCACGAGATCAACTGCAATAACTTTAAGGACCGTGGGGTGAAGTGGTCTGTGTTCCGCACGCCCCGCCCATCAGACATCCTGCAGGGGCTTCTGGGAAACTGCTGGTAAGAAAGATAGTGTTCAGTGTCTTCATTCAATTAAAGTGATAGTTTGGTGAAAAATCACCAAAGACCCCCAGTTTCCCCCCATATTACGCCAAATTAGCCACGTCGTGTTTGGTGTCTGAGCTTTGCTTCTTTAGTTTTAGCACTGGAGCTACGAGGCTAATGGAGCTAATGAGTAATAGAAGCTTATACCCCATCGATTAGCATGGTGCTAACTGCATGACTAAATGACATACTGTTCCTAAATTGTGTGGAGTTAATCTCAGTAGCACTTATTTGAAGGTTACCTGCATATTTCCAAAGCTTATTAGAGTCTTTATAAATAACTTTTCAAAATCATGCTGTCAGGTTTCTTTTCCTCGTCTGAATGGCTAAATAAACACATTCTACCACTTTATATTTTAGAGTGTTCACTGATTGATGGTGAGATTGCTGATTGGCGGCGCTGATAGAAAGAAGAGAAAATAACTCAGAAAAACTAAGCGCGAAAGTGGTTCAGCACTATCAGTACAGAACCTTTTGGAAATGGTTCTATATAGGACCAAAAAAGGTTCTGCTCTTATAACAATGTCAAGCTTGAAATAATAGAAGAGCCCTTTTTGGTGCTGTTGAACCATATAGAACACATTCTCTATCAAGCTGAAGAACTATTTCACCATGCAGAGAACCATTTAAGCATGAAAAGGTTCTTTGAGTGTTCATGGTTCTACATAGAACCACTGTCTGTACTAAAGAACCCTTGAAGAACCATCTATTTTAAAAGTGTAGATTTTATCAGAGGTGAATCCAGTAATGAGTATACGTTCCTGCTACAGCAGATTAGCTTGTTAATGTTGCCAAATATTATCATTATGATGTTACTGCACACGTTTTTCCCTCCTAGCAGTTTGCCAGCTTAATAAAATTGCTGAGTCTAAAAGCAGTGGTGGACAGTAACTAAGTATATGTAATTCTTTACTGTACTTAAGTAGTTTTTTCGTGTATCTGTACTTTACTGAAGTTTTTCCATTTTGGGTGACTTATTACTTTCACTCCACATTTCAAAGTCAAATATCTCACTTTTTACTCCACTACATTATGAGAAATCTGTCGTTCCTTTTGGTTTATGTGTGTATAAAAACGCAACGTCAAAACAAAAGAAGCGCGAAGCAAGAACACCAATCAGGGCACAGCGGTCACTTTGTTTTGAGCTTGTTTTGACCTGTTGGTCATACCGACCCAGTGCAGCACACGGTTCAACATCAGTGCAGCAGCGTAAAATTTTGGAAGCAAGTTTTTTATTAAACTTAAACTTGTAATTAAGTTGCAAATAAATCTTAAATCTTAAACTGAAACTTTGCTTGTTTGTAAAAAGTGATTTCAGAGCCACTCAGTTCTACCTGATGGAAACTGTTTGCCTTCAGTGTTTTGTGCTGATGATAATTTTAATAGACATCAGCGTCACTAATTAATGCCTCTATTAAAAGACTGGTTTACCAAGAGTGACACTGGAGTATTTTCACCTAAAATGAGTTAATGAAGTGAGTCTTGTTACAAAAATGATAATAGGACATCAGAGTCATAATTAATCTTTTAGTACTTTTACTTTCGATACTTAAGTACATTTGAAGGCAAATACTTTTGTACTTTTACTCCAGTTGAGGTCTAAAGGGAGGAACTTCTACTTTTACTGCAGTAATATTTTACCTTGGGTGTCTCTACTTTAACTCAAGTACATGGTTTGTGTACTTTGTCCACCACTGTCTAAAAGGCTCTGGCTCCGCCCTTCGCCACTGTGAACAATTCTGACTCATTTCACATTAAACCAGTCTGATTGACTTTGTTTACATCTTAACCAGAAATTCTGAAAAATCGGTTGAATCTCCCTTGGTGGAAAGGTCCCTTATGTCAATACAATGACATTAACGTCATAAAACATCTTGTGATTTCTGGTGTAAGCAGTTTATAAATATATAAATATTGCTTTCTAAATGGGAAACGACTTGACGGCACACAATAATAATAGTAATAATAATAATAATGAATATGTTAATTGGTGATTATGTGGTTTCTAACACTGCATGACATGCTGTCATTTTTAATGGAGTGAAGCATGGAGGGATAGAGACGGGGGAGAGAGGGGGGATTAGAGCTGTTCAGCTGTTTATCATCTGCCTCGGTTGCCTGACTGAATTCATGTTATCTGTTATGATCCAGCTTTACGGTCAGACTTGACCAATCAATTTAGCGATTAAACATCATCTTCACAAACGCTCATCCGAACAGATGTGAACAACGAACAAATACGGCCGTAAAGAAGTTTCCCTCGCGTGCCTCGGCCTGTGTTTGCCGCCAGGCTGTTTTTTATTGTTTGTAAACAGTGGTGGAACAGACATTACTAATCACACACAGACTTTCCATTCAGATGAACAGGGTTTACAGGCATGACTAATCGAGTGTGATCAGAGAGCCTGGCTCATCTGCCTCTCTGTGTTGTGAAGACGCAGCACAGTTAGTTTTTTCCACCACGTTGAACATATGGGTCAGATTTCTAACGTTTCTGCTGTTTGTGTTTCTTCTGTTTAGGTGAGATTTTAGATTTTGATATTAAATTTGATTACTTATTAGTTTTTTTTTTTCTGAATTAAAATGTTATTATCTTTTTCATCATTATTATTCTTTTATTAAGTTGGCTTGACATTTTGTCATTATTCTGCTGTTTTTCAACGATTTGTGCACATATGGTTTTCATTGAAATGCATTGAAACATTTCACAGACGCATCTACACACTAGCACACATATATACACACACACATTAGCAGCCACCTGGAATACCATAGGAACAGCCTAGCAACACCTTCACAACCACCTAGGTTACTGTAGCAACAGTCAAGCAACATCTTAGCTACCACCTGGTATCTGATAACCACGCAGGATACCATGTGGCGGCCTAGCAGCACCTTGGCAACCACCAAGAATACCATAGCAATGGCCTAGAAACACCTGGGTTACCATAGCAACAGCCTAGCCACACCTTAGCAACTACCTTGTATACCATAACAATACCTAATAACACCTTAGCACCCACCTGGGATAACATGCAAACTGCCTAACAACACCTTAGCAACAACCTGGGTTACTGTAGCAACAGCCTAGCAGCACCTTAGCAACCACCTGGTATACCATAGCAGCAGCTTGGCAACACCTTAACACCCACCTAGGATAACATACAAACGGCCCAGCAACACCTTAGCAACCACTTGGGATACCACAGCAACAGCTTAACAACACCTTAGCACCTGGGATAACATACAAGCAGCCTAGAAACACCTTGCCAACCACCTGGGTTACCGTAACAACAGCCTAGCAACATCGTAGCTACCACCTGGTATACCATAGCCACGCAGCATACCAAGTCAACGGCTTAGCAGCAACCACAAAGAATACCATAGCAATGGCCTAGCAACACCTTAGCAACCACCTGGGTTACCGTAGCAACAGCCTAGCAACACCTTAGCAACCGCCTTGTGTACCATAGCAACGCCTAGAAACACCTTAGCAACCGTCTGGGATTCAGTAGTAATGGCTTTGTCCACTCAATTCAAAGTTGGTTCACAAACCTTTTCTTTTAGTTAAATTTTGATTCTGACTACAGAACAACTCCACACAGTTGGATTTAGATATTAGCACTATGCTAATTGCTAATTAATGTCAAATGCTTGTTACATTAGCCTTGTAGCGCCAGTGCTAAAGCTAAAGAAGCAACTACGTGTGGGTAAGAGGGTGAACTGGGAACCAGATTTTCCACTTTAGTGTATAAAAATGTGTCTATATGACTGAAATGATGATGATGATGATGGTGGTGGTGATGATGATGATGATGATGATGATGATGGTGTGTGTAGGTTCCTCAGTGCTCTGGCGGTGCTGGCGGAGCGTCCTGAGCTGGTGGAGCGTGTGATGATCACCAGGTCCATCTGCCCCGAGGGGGCGTATCAGGTCCGGCTCTGTAAGGACGGGACCTGGACCACTGTGCTGGTGGACGACATGCTGCCCTGCGACGAGTACGGATACCTGCTCTTCTCGCAGGTGGGGCTGAAAACGTTACCTTTTCACCAAGACCAGCTTTGTTATTAAAGCAGAGTTATTATAGTTCTTTATTTTATATTTAGTTTTTATTTCATTTTTTGATTTCAGTTTTAAGATTAAAATTTTACTTTTTTATAGTCCAAAACACAAGAATTCTATTGTAGTTTTTATTTCATTTTCTATTTATTTTCATGTCAGATTATATTAAGCTTCGGTGTTTTAGTTTTTAGTGTTTTGATGACTATGATAGTACATATACGACGAGGGGAGGATAAACAATTCAAAATGCATGATTTCTTTATTTAGTTGTGTGCAAAAGTTTGGGCACCCCTGATCACATGACATACTGTGTTGATTTTCTAAGTGTAATCAGGTGAACACACTCTACAGTGACACACTTCTGTGCATTTTAATACACAGTTGCTGTTTGTTTACTAAATTCAGCATGTTGGGGAAGAAAACATCACTATTTGCATGAGCCAAGACTTAAAACTTACACTGATATTAAACATGGTTGATTTTGTCGTAGCGTCAAGACGAGAAAAAGACTGACTTAAGACCACCATCCTGACCCCCACACTAAACGATCGAGATGACCTGAGCGTGATGCGACTCTAACAAGACTCTTATGATTTTATTCCGACATTGGAAATTTGTGTGCAACAGTGAATTTGCTCGAAAAGTCGTTTGGTGTGAGGCCGTCATAACATTAATCCTAATCCTAACCCCAAACTCAAAGCAGTAGAGAGTGAAAGTGGCAGTGTTTTCTTATTGTTATTATTGTTGTTGTTATTATTAATACATTGTTATATCTTTAAGCGCAAGCACTCGGCACACTCTGTGACCTTTTAAAGACTCATTGTCTCACAGTGTGTTAACGTTTTATTAAGCTCTAAAATCTGCTAAATTTGGTATCGTGTTATAAACGTTTGTTTTCAGGGTCATTTTTAGGTCTGAATGTGATGCAGCCCTAACGCATGTCCTCATCAGTGTGGCAGTGTTCTAAAAATCCACTGCAGACGAGATTCACTCGGATTAAAAGATTATAAAATAGAATTATGAAAACATCGCTCTCTGCTTTCCTCTCTCCCTCTCTCGCTCTCTGTCTCTCCATCAGTCTCTCTCAATTTGATTCCATTTAAGTCATTCTGCTTTATTAGCGTGATGATACATTTGAGTGTTAAAGAATAATAAAGCATATTTTAATAAAAAACGTATTAGATTCTCTAGAAATGTTAAAGAGAGAGCTGTTAAACGCTTTCAGGTTGCAGCTGGATGAAAGGAACAGGAAGAAAAGTGAAAACTGAGATAATAATGCTGGTAATAATGTGCTGTAATGAGCTGTTCTCTCTGTCTCAGGCTCAGAGGAGGCAGCTGTGGGTGGCTCTGATAGAGAAAGCTCTGGCGAAGCTGCACGGCTCGTATTTTGCGCTGCAGGCCGGTCGGGCTATAGAGGGATTAGCGACGCTCACCGGCGCCCCCTGCGAGAGCCTCATGCTGCAGGTCAGCTCTACCAACCCGCGAGAGGAGCCCATCGACACCGACCTCATCTGGGCCAAAATGCTCAGCTCCAAAGAGGCAGGGTAGGAGAACGTACCGCACACACGCTCTTTCATTCGTTTATTTCACTTTATTTCTGTGTCATCATTATTATTAATATTAATATTATTAATAATATTATTAATACTAAGAACAACTGTAGATTTTTTCCTCCTTTGTGTTGTTCACAGCGCCAAAAAATAGTGCAAATAGTATCTTTTGCTCCTCACAAAATGGCCAGACGGTGAAAAGAGAAAAAGTGAAATGATTCAGAAAATTCAGTAAAATTCAGGAGCTGAAACTTTGAGTTCTTCCACATGTTGGTGTGGGCAATATGGCATAAATATCATATTGCCATACTTAGACATTTTAATGATACACTTTATTCATCACAGTATTTTGACACACAGACGCAATGCATTACTAGTGCCTAATGTAAAAACTGGGCAATGGTGAAATGACTTTTATTCTGCATTCTATATACTGGACTACACTAAATCCAATTAAACAGGCCTAATTGTGCTCTCTGATTAGTGAAACATGCAGTTGTTCAGTGTTCGTGTTCTTTAAATACACTATCTGCATGCATATTGTGTATCATGAGCACAAAAATTAACACCATAGCGATGAAATAGTCATATTGCCCATTTCTGTCCACATATAACTCAGAACTTCGCATGAGCTCTGTCCGAGCTCTTTTGAAGAGGACATGACAGATCAGAAGGCAGATAGTCCAGAAGCACTTTACTGGAACCATGCTATATAACATTGAAATTACCATGTCTTAAACATGTCATTGCAGATGTCATATGCTGTCCAGAGTTGTCATGACTAGGGAAGGGAATTGATAAGGTTTTATTGACAAAAGTGGCGTTATCAATTCTGCGTATAGGTCCAATTCTTTATCAATTCCCTTATTGATTCCTGATTAACTGTGTGGGGAAAAAAACAAAGGACAAAAGTATTGGGACACACCTCTTAATCATTGAATTTAGGTGTTTCATTCAGTCTCGTTGCCAAGGTGTATAAAATCAAGCACCTAGCCATGCAGCCTGGCTTTACACACATTAGTGAAAGAATGGGTCTAAAGAGCTCACTGAGTTCGAGTGTGGTGCTGTAATAGGAGCCAAGCACAATGCCAGGAGTCGGATGGAGTGGAGTAAAGCGCAGCCACTGGACTCTGGAGCAGTGGAAACCTATTCTGTGGAGTGATGAATCAGCTTCTCTGTCTGTCAGTCTGATGGACAAGTCTGGGTTTGGTGAATGCCAGGAGAACGTTACCTGCCTGACTGCACTGTGTCAGCTGTAGAGTTTGGTGGAGGAGGGATGATGATATGGGGCTGTTTTTCAGGGGTTGATCTAGAACCCTTAGTTCCAGTGAAGGGAAACCTTAATGCTTCAGCGCCAAGACATTCTGGACAATTGTACACTTCCAACTTTGTGGAACAGTTTGGGGAAGAACCTTTTCTGTTCCAGGCCTGGCTGGGTGAGTTTGGTGTGGAAGAACTTGACTGGCCCTCACAGAACCCTGACCTCAACCCCATCCAACACCTTTAGGATGAACTAGAACAGCTGTTCTGGATGAACGGGCAAAAATTCCCACAGACTCTCTCCAAAATCTTGTAGAAGCTTCCCAGAAGAGTGGAAGCTGTTAGAGCTGCAAAGGGGGACAAACTCCATATTAATGCCTATGGATTTAGAATGGGAGTCATTAAAGCTCCTGTAGGTGAGATGTGTAGGTGTCCCAATACTTTTGTCCATATAGTGTGTGTGTGTGTGTGTGTGTGTATTTATTTATGTATATGCTATTATAGAGAATATGTTCATCAACTGACGTATATTGCTGGTGTTTCCACCTTCATTTTAAATGATCATTTTACAGACATTGCAAGTAGCACTGTTGTCATCTCTCTTTGTGACATGAAGCCACGCTTTGGAACGCTTCTTCCTCTCCTCCCGCAGTGTCAACGTAGCGTTTGACATCGTGACGCATGAGTTCTTGCAACGAGCAACTGTCAGAAAATGATGCCGGCATGGATATAAGGAATGTATGACCTCGGAGGCATGACCGCAGAGTGCACTCCAGATAGGCGTTGTAACATCAAACATTATGGCTGTGTCTGAAACATAAACGCTGCTGCTCATGCAGTATTCAGGAAGACAGGAAGGCACCCAGTCATGTCCGAGCCTAATGTGCAAAGCGCTTCCTGCTGAGGTTTCTCCGTTCTGCTGCTGTTTTTTTGAAGGCAGCATAGATCTATCCGACTGCCTTACATACCCCATAATCCCTTTGCGTCAGCGCCGATGCAGTTGGGGAAGAGTCAGTGAAGGAGAGAAACCGTTTTTTTTTTTTTTTTTTTCTTTTTATTCTGGCTATAAAAAGTTCAGCATGCTAGTCTTCTTAAAAGGACTTTTTCTAGATAAAGGTTGCTAACAGCTAATGCTAACAGCTAGCAGTGAGCTGTCATATCTTGGCAATGTCGTGATGTGTCGCTGCCTTTGGAGCGCGTCTCAAAAGCGATTCAGTTGTGGACACCTTCATCACAAAGCCGCCTTCTGAGGCGCTGACTTACGAGACAGCACAGTCAGCAAGACACTGAGAACGCTGCCCTCAGTTTCAGACAGAGAGTTTGACATCCGTCATGACAAGTACTGGTATCTTGGTTGTCGTCATGCCAGTGCCAGGGACACCAGTAAATGGTTGAGTGAGTTTGTGTCGCCTGAGAAAGTTCGCAAAAGTCAAACAGAGCAAATACAGATCTGAGAAATTGCGCTTGGAGTGAAATGTCATCTGAATAAATCACACAAATACGTTTCATATGTAAAGGCCTTCATTAAAAATGAACATAAGTAGATATGATGACCAAATGTCCGCAGCCGTACCATCTAACTGATTCTTAATTTGTTACTTTTTTCAGCTTCCTGATGGGGGCGTCCTGTGGGGGCGGGAATATGAAGGTGGATGATGTTGTATATGAGTCTCTGGGACTCCGCCCACGCCACGCCTACTCTATACTGGACGTCCGGGACGTTCAAGGCTACAGGTAAGACTCAGACTCATTGTGTTGTGTGTACCACGGGTAAGATGTGTTATTAGGCATGGTGTAAAACCTGTTTCTCTGTAACCTACAGTCTCCAGTGGCGTATTGCTTATATAAAACGCAGACACTTTACAATATAATCAAATATGAAGCTGGAGCCGAGCTGAGCTCAGTCTACTGTTGTGATAATTTTATTCTACTGTTATTAAATATCTGCTGTCACAGCATTCATCATAATACAGGGTGTCCCAAAAAAACTGACATCATTTGAGATGTGAATATCTGAGTAACTACACATCATAGGCAAACGAAATTAAATAGGCTTCATGTTGAACAATACAAGATTTATTTATCAAAATTCGAGGGATGTAGATTTTATAACCGATTTCACAGCTTCACAAATGTAATATTTTCCGATACTGGTGGTCGTCCAGATCCCTTTGCCCTGCACAGACAGCCGTCCTCTTTGAGTTTTTTTGTGCCGTGTCCAAATCTGCTTTCCAGTTCGGTGCATTTTTATTGACTTTTCTCGAAAATGCCGCTGCACACTCTCGTTTGACTGTGTTCGACCGTATTCTAACACACAAAATGCCTTTTCATTTCTAGTGAACACCATTCTACAACCTTAAACTTGGTTAGCTTTTTACACATTTTGTTAAAATTTGAGATCATTTGAGGAGAATTGGCTGTTATTAGACTATGAAATGATGTCAATTATTTTGGGACACCCTGTATTAAAACCTGAAACTGAAGCTTAATAAAAGTACTCTAAAACTATTTTCAGAGAATAAAAAAGAAACTTAAATTAAACTACTAACACTCTTAAAACTGATGACATGAAGAACTAAATAAAAATAAAAACGAATGAAAATTTAAAACTATAATAACCCTGGTTGTGAGGCAGTCACAGGTGTGCTTATAGTGAGTATTTTACAGGGGCTTCATACATGGCTCAGCCAATCAGAATATAAGAGTAAAACCATCTGTTATCTAATAATTGTTACTGTACTGTTGACTTTACAGTATCACACAATCCTGTAAAGTCAGCAGTACAGTAACAACAGTACAATAATAAATAATGTTTTGAGATGTCTGTAGAATTTAAGCATTCATAATTAAAACAGCGTAACTCAACAGATGAGTGCTCCAACAATAACACAGCGTTCTAGTTACAACAGCATTACTGTAAGTGTCTTAAGCATATTGACTGTTCAACTGAAGAAAGCAGCATTCTAGAAGAGTTCTAGATAGTTTGTGTCCTCCAGGATTCTAGAACATCTGTATTCAACAGGGTTCCAAAAGGTTTGCGTTCTTTAGACGTTTTGCATTCCTCAGGGTTCTAGAAGTTCAGGTTGTCCAAGGTTCTAGAAAGTTTGTGTTGTTCAGAGTTCCATCTGTCAGTGTTCTCTAGGGCTCCAGAAGGTTTCTGTTCTCCAAAGTTGTGGAAGGTTTTGTTCTACAGAGTTCCAGAATGTCCTGTTCCCTAGCATTGTAGAAGATTCTGTCCTCCAGGTTTCTCGAGGGTTTGCGTTCTCCCGGTTCTAGAATGTTCTTGCTCTGTTCCAGGCTGCTGCGTCTGCGGAACCCGTGGGGTCGGTTCTCGTGGAATGGTTCCTGGTCGGATGAGTGGGCCGATTGGCCGCAGCACCTTCGTCACGAGCTGATGGCTCACGGCAGCAGTGAGGGCGTCTTCTGGATGGAATACGGAGACTTCATCAAGTCAGTCAATAATCAATACATACTGATACATGCTGTATTACTATATTAATATGTACACTTATTAGTAAATGGAATATGGGTAGTTATTAACCAATGCATCTGAATTTTTCAGGGTTCATGCTGTAATAATACACTTGATCTGTACACTTGATAGTATATGGAGTACAGAGACTCAAATTAGTACCTAATTAATACATTTCTACCAGTGTATAGTGATGTATTGTGTGTGTGTGTGTGTGTGTGTGTGTGTGTGTATACATATAGCTATATGTATATTTATATATATTGTGTATATACACTCATTAGTAGCATGGAATATAAAGGCCTTAGCAAGTCAATCAATAATATTAATCAATTAGTGCAGTAATGTCTTTGTATTTTCAAAATAGTATCTTTACAGGAGAAGGAAAAAAACATTGTTGACGTTTACTGTACGATAATGTTATTTTAGTCCATGTGATTTTTAGCTATTTCTGTTGGTCCATTCACCATGTTCAGATACTGTAAAGGGCAGCTGTCTTTCAGCTGGAAAATAATGAAGAAACAACAATATTGGTTGAAGAGTGTGTGAGATGTAATCAGAGTGATTTGGTGTGAAATGGTTCAGATGTCTTTACAGTGGTGGTGATAGGAACCAGGGGTCGCCATGACTACAACACAAATATAGACAAACTCTTTTCAAAACCATCATAAAACGGTGTCTCAGTCATCAGGCAGTGAATTCATAACCATTTCATGTAGGAACTTTCTGTGAGGGAGCTTTTAGAGGTGGACGTCTGGTTCCTATCACCACCACTGTGAACAGTTCTGACTGTAAGTTTATCTAGAACTCAGCGTTTCACACCAAACCACTCTGAACCGCTCTGTGTACATCTGTCTGTTTATCTGTCTGTCTGCCTATCTTTGTCTCTCTATCTTTGACTCTTTGTCTTTGTCTGTCTGTCTTTTGATCTGTCTGTCTATTTATATATATGTCTGTCTGTCTGTATATCTTTCTAGCTGTCGATCTTATCTGTCTGTTTGTCTGTGTGTCTGTTTTTCTAGTTAGCTGTCTGTCTGTCTGTCTGTGTGTCTGTCTATCTGTCTATTTGTAAAGTGTCCTTCCAGTGTTAGTAGTGTGATCTGTCTCTGAATTACCTGGTGGTGACAGAGGTGTGTGAGAGAAAGAGAGATGAGGGATAGGTGTCAGGTTGATTGTGTGTGTGTGTGTGTGTGTGTGTGTGTGTGTGTGTGTGGTTTTGTACTATGCTCATGTTAGGTATCTGTGTAAATTCTTTCTTAGAAGGCACATTTTAAACTTCCATCAGGATCAAACTTCGTTTACCTACTAAAATATTTCACTCTGTGTGTGTTCTGTCACCTAGAAACTGTTTAAGTGATCTAAATACTTTAAAACACACGCGCAGAGGTGAAATATAGACAACCACTCCTTCCATCCCATGATTTATTCACACCTGCCTACTGACACAAAGAAACGCATCTGTACAGAGAGTGAGTGTGTGAGTGTGTGTGTGTGTGTGTGTGTGTGTGTGTGTGAGTGTGTGTGTGTGTGTGTGTGTGTGTGTGTGTGTGTGTGTTCTCTCTTTGTCTTTAATAAATCATTGAATCCGTCAGACTGATCTGTGTATGTCTACTCACTCACTGTAAGAAGCATTTGAACTCTCATGAATTATGTGTGTTTCTGTATTTTCAGTCCTAAATATTAAAAAAGCAAGACCAACAGGACCAACAGAATAATTCTGTTTTTATAGAAATGCATTTAATTTTTGAAAACTGAAAGAGCAAAACCATTAGAATCAGACTTAGAAAGTTCTTATTACATATAGAAACTTTTATATATATATATATATATATATATATATATATATGTATATATATGTAATATGATCAGTACATGTAACAACTATACAATCCACGTGGAACACATTATTTTGACATGTAGATGCATATATCTGAAACATACATATATATATATATATATATATATATATATATATATATATATATATATATATATATATATATAGGGCTTGGTGTGACTTAACGTCCTGATATTGTATAAAACAATCCTGTGTTTGTGTGCTGTGCAGGTACTTTGACTCGGTGGACATCTGTAAGATCCACTCCGATTGGCAGGAAGTTCGTGTTCAGGGCAGTTTCCCCAGCAGGGCCAGCGGACCACTCACTGTTACTGCACTCACTGTACTGGAGAGAACCGCACTGGAGTTCGCTCTGTTTCAGGAGGGCAGCAGGTAACACATACAGTATAAACTAAAGTCCAACAATGACCTGTCCAAGAAAATACCCCAACAAAAAATTCTGTCTGAGCCGACTGTATCACAGATACCTGTACTCCTTATTTACTATATAATACTTTGTATTATAAATATATATATATATATATATATATATATATATATATATATATACTTATTTTTCTCTCTGTTTCTCTCTGTCTATACTTATTTCTCTCTATTTACACTTATTCATCTCTCTCTTTCTCCCTCTCTCCCTCTCTGCCGTTGCTCCAGGCGTTCAGACACTGCAGACAGTCACCTGTTGGATCTGTGTATCATGGTATTTCGGGCATCCTTTGGCAGTGGGAATAAGCTGGTTTTGGGCCGCCTGCTGGCCCACAGTAAGCGGGCAGTGAAGAAGTTTGTGGGCTGTGATGTAATGCTGGAGCCGGGCGAGTACGCTGTGGTCTGCTGCGCCTTTAACCACTGGCAGATGAACGTCACGGGATCCCCCACTCCAGGTGAGAACTAGAGATTGTATTGTAATTAAGTATTTGTAGGAGTTAACAAACAGGTATTCTGTTAACGGCTGGGAAGAAGAAAGACGAGCTTCAGCTGACATTAATGTATCATAGTTATGGCTCATTATTCTCAAAAAGGGAAAACAGTGCGCGTGTTTTCACAATTTGAAATCATTTTATTAAATATGTAAGTCTATATCTGTAGATGGTTATTTTCATAGTTATTTTTTGTGGTCTTCAGTGTCAATATATAATCCACACTTAGAATTGAGCATGAAGAAATGCATATGATAATTATTTGCAGTTGTAAACACCAAATTATATGGGAAACTGTGTTGTAATTTTTGTAATATATTGGATTTTTAGCTGTATTTCCCAGCTTTAATATGAGTAATGTGTATGTTTGAGTGTGGGGAGTTGTGTAAAATGTGTGTGTCCTGCAGTACCCAGTCCCACCAGTGGGCGGGGCCAGAGTCAGGACTTCCCCGGCTTCATCCTGGCCATCTACAGCAGCAGGCAGGTGATGGTGGAGCAGGTGGACGCCACGGCAACCACGCTGGCTGACGCCATCATACTGCTGACAGAGAACAAAGGAGAGAGACATGAGGTATACAAACACACACACACACACACACACACACACACACACACACACATGCAGACATGCACACATATATAAATGTGTTTATTACATTTTGTCAACTTTTGGTCAGATTATTCACCAACTGGCAGGTGAGACATGTATAATCTATTATCATGTAGTCCTGAAATAAAAATAGGTAACACATGAGACACTGATGCTTGTTAATATGTGTTTTAAGAGAGAAAATGTTTTGTTGTGGTATTAGGCCTTAGAGGTGTGCATCGTCATACCTATCGAAGCCATGCAGGTCAAAGTTCTCGTTCAGTGTGAATTCTGAATAAGGAATCAGAGGAAGGCCACTGCTGCGCCCAGAGAGTTCTGAGAAGTGTGGGTTGGGCTTGGTTATTTCAGTATCAGATATCAGATAGGACTTATCTTAGCTTCTTTCCTTAATCAGGTATTTGAGGTAGCATATTAGTGCTAACATACTACTTCAAATACCTGAGTATGTTAAAATCACAGTATGTTAGTCTGTCAGAAAGTCTGTTAGTATGTCAGTGAGCGTTGGTATGTTAGTATGTTGGAGTAAATCAGTGAGTATGTTAGTATGTCAGAAAATATGATAGTTTGTTAGTAAGTATATCAAAATATTAGTATGTTAGAATAAATCAGTATGTTAGTATTTTAATGAGTATGTTAGTATTTTAGTGAGTATGTCAGTGAGTATGTTAGTATGTCAGTTAGTATGTTAGTGAGTATATCTGTGAATATGTTAGTATGTTAGAGTAAATCAGTATGTTAGTATTTTAGTGAGTATGTTGGTATTTTAATGAGTATGTTAGTATTTTAGTGAGTATATCAGTGAGGATGTTAGTATGTCAGTTAGTATGTTAGTGAGTATATCTGTGAGTATGTTAGTATTTTAGTGAGTATGTTAGTATTTTAGTGAGTATGTCAGTATGTTAGTATTTTAGTGAGTATGTCAGTATGTTAGTATTTTAGTGAGTATGTTAGTATTTTAGTGAGTATGTTAGTATTTTAGTGAGTATGTCAGTATGTTAGTATTTTAGTGAGTATGTCAGTGAGGATGTTAGTATTTTAGTGAGTATGTCAGTGAGGATGTTAGTATTTTAGTGAGTATGTCAGTGAGGATGTTAGTATTTTAGTGAGTATGTCAGTATGTTAGTATTTTAGTGAGTATGTCAGTATGTTAGTATTTTAGTGAGTATGTCAGTGAGGATGTTAGTATTTTAGTGAGTATGTCAGTATGTTAGTATTTTAGTGAGTATGTCAGTATGTTAGTATTTTAGTGAGTATATCAGTGAGGATGTTAGTATGTTAGTGAGTATATCTGTGAGTATGTTAGTATTTTAGTGAGTATGTTAGTATTTTAGTGAGTATGTCAGTATGTTAGTATTTTAGTGAGTATGTTAGTATTTTAGTGAGTATGTCAGTATGTTAGTATTTTAGTGAGTATGTCAGTGAGGATGTTAGTATGTCAGTTAGTATGTTAGTGAGTATATCTGTGAGTATGTTAGTATGTTAGAGTAAATCAGTATGTTAGTGTTAGTATGTCAGAAAATAGGTGTTTGTTAGTGAGTATGTTAGTATATTAGTATGTCAGTATGTTAGTGTTTACAAAAATACTACCTAAAATACCTGAGTGTTGGAACGTCCGTGTGTCAGTGAATATCAGTGAGCATGAGATGTTAGTATGTCAGTGAATATGTTAGTATGTTAGTATCAGTGTCAGAGTGTCAGTGTGCTAGAGCATGTTAGTGCATCAGTGATTGTTATAGTGTCAGTGTCAGTTTGTCAGTGAATCAGTTAATGTGTCAGTGCCAGTGAGTGTCAGTTGTCAGAATGTCAGTCAGTGAGGGTCAGAGTGTTAGTTGTCAGTATGTCAGTGAGTGTTAGTGGCTCAGTGAAAATCAGTATGTCAGTGGGTCAATGAGAGTCAGTGTCAGTGAGTCACTGAGTCAGCCTGTGTCAGTGAGTGTCACTATGTCAGTTGTCAGTATGTCAGTGAGTGTCAGTTGTCAGTATGTCAATGAGTATGGCAGTGAGTGTCAGTGTCAATTGTATGTCAGTGTGTGTCAGTTAGTTGTCAGTATGTCAGTGAGTGTCAGTGGATCAGTGTCAGTTGTCAGTACGTCAGTGAGTGTTAGTGGGTCAGTGAGTCAGTATGTCAGTGTCAGTTATCTGTGTCAGTAATCAGTATGTCAATGAGTATGCCATGAGTGTCAGTGTCAGTTGTATGTCAGTGTGTGTCAGTTAGTTTTCAGTATGTCGGTTAGTTGGTCAGTTAATGTGTGAGTCTGTGTCAGTGTCAGCTGTCAGTATGTCAGTTTGTCAGTTAGTGTGGGAGTCTCAATGTCAGTTGTCAGTATGTCATTTAGTTTCTCAGTGTGTCTCGGGTAGTGTCAGTTTTCAGTATGTCAGTTTGTCAGTTGATGTGTGTGTCAGCGTCAGCTGTCAATATGTCAGTTAGTTTGTGAATCTCAGTGTCAGTTAGTTGTCAGTTTGTCAGTTTCTTTGTACGTTAGTGTGTGAGTCAGTAGTGTCAGTTGTCAGTCAGTGGATATGTCAGTGAGTACGTTAGAGAGTACTTCAGTGTGTTAGTGAGGACACTAGTGTGTATGCTGGTGTGTTGCTGTCAGTGGGTATGTTAGAGTATGTACTGAGGGTGTTAGTAAGTGTTAAGCTGTATGTCAGTATGTTGGAGAGTATGTTGTTATGTCAGTGATTATGTAAGAAAACGTTATTATGGTAAGAATGTTAAACTTTCTGTGTGCATTTTTAATCAATGGCAACACAAAATGTTTGAACACAGTTGTGGATATTCAAATAGGAGATATGGCTAAAATGCTCATCCCTGATAATTCAGAACTATGGACATGTCATGACCTGTACTGATACATCATGTCTCTCTCTCTCTTGTTCTCTCTCTCAGGGCCGCGAGGGAATGACCTGCTACTACCTGACGCACGGGTGGGCCGGGCTAATCGTCGTTGTGGAGAACCGACACCCAAAGTACTACCTCCATGTATCATGTGACTGCACGGACAGTTTCAACGTGGTGTCCACCCGCGGCAGCCTCAAAACAATCGACAGCGTTCCACCTTTACACAGGTACACACGCTAGAAACATCACCTTTACCTGCCAGACTGGACAACGTAATCCTATCGACCGTATTTTTCTCTCTTCGTTTTCCTTTATGTTTTCTTTCCTCTCATTCTTCCTGAATGTAGATCTAGTTCATTGTCGCCTTAGTCTGTGAGGCACAAAACCGCTTCTATTAATCATTTTTTATGTGTCTGTGTTGCAGGCAGGTGCTGGTGGTCCTGTCTCAGCTGGAAGGGAACGCTGGTTTCTCCATCACACATCGACTAGCCCACCGCAAAGCAGCGCAGGCTAATCTGGGGGACTGGACCCCCACCAAGGCCACACACTCGCCCCAGCTCACCACGGACACAGAGGGGCTTCATAAACCCCGCCCACTCTGACACACACACAGCCATACACACACACACACATTTGGAAGGTCAGGGTGAGCATGCTGGAACTACTGAGCCAATCACGTGTCTGCTCACTGAGCCAAGACCCGCCCACTGCAAACACACACACACATACACACACACTGCACAAGGACAGATGCACTCGCATGCATACAGCCATATTCATACTTAAATTACCACACACACACACACACACACTGCTATAGATGAGTGTGTGTATACAGTACTGTGCAGAAGTCAGAGACCCCCTGCTTCATTTATTTAATTTCTAGTTAAAACTGTTCAGTGAGTACAAGTTACTCATTTTTCAGGGGATATTTATGAGGTGATTTAGATATAAGATAATCCACTTGCATAAGGAGAAAAAACACAGGAGTTTCCAAAACTGCAGTTCAAAAACTGATTAAGAGCTACAGAGAAAATGTGTCTCCTAACAACCACCTGGAAGACCTGGTAGACCCCCAAACTGCCCCCATCAGATAAACAGCACTTAAAGCTTTCATCTCTGAGAGAGAGGAGAAAATCAAGCTGATCAGATCTGAAAACATCCACAGGTGTTTCTGTCCATCCTTCCACTGTGAGAAGACGACTCAGCGCTGTGGGTCTGAAAGGATGTGTAGCTGATCAAGAAGAGCCTCACTGAGAAAAGGAGACGGACACATCAAACAAAGAAGCTGAACGATGGACTGACCACCCCAGAGTCCAGATCTCAACACCACTGAATGTGTTTACGTTTAAGGCATTTAGCAGACACTCTTATTCAGAGCAACTTTGTTACCGAGGTAGGTGAAGGTAGTGTTAGGAGTCTAGTCCAAGGACTCTTAGTGGTATAGCATTGTTCCCTCCTGGGGGGGATTGAACCCGATTCTGCAGAGGTGTTATCCACTACACTATACCCACCGTGTGTAGGATGGTGTGTAGCGGAAAAGACTGCACTTTGGAGGTGTGTCTGCAGATTTCTTTGAACTGAAAGTGAGTCACCTGAAAAGAATGGAAGCTGGAATAAAGGGAAAGAGTGACTCACTGACTCACACAGCTGATAGCTGATTTAGCTGTTGAGGCGGTACATTATGGGCGTTTTGACTGGAAATTAAATCAGTAGGTAACTGAACGGGGGTCTCTGACTGCACGGCACTGTGTGTGTGTGGTTTACGGTACTCGAGCCAAACCTGCAGGAGGATCTCTGACCATCATCGTCCTTCAGTTTTTATACCTGCGTGTTATTTCTGTGTGTCAGAGGGAGAGACGAATGAACTGAACGAAATGAGTCTGTAATTATTTTTCATTGTATCATATGATGTTTTTAGCATGGGGGAGGGGCTTCGGTTCCAAGTAACCAATCAGAAAACTTGAACTGTTCTGGGGCAGGATATGAGGGATGCTGTGGGGAATGTTAGGACTTTAAGGTGGGTTTTGGGGAAGGCTGGCGGTCCGTCTTGTCTCGGAGGTGTGGAGTGTGCGAGAGAGCGTGAGTGAGCGTGTGATGGTTATGGTTCATACTCTGTGTACAGCATCTTCTTAATTTATTGAACGTTGTATTAAATGTTAAGGGAGAAGCACAAGTTGATGGTAACGATGGTAGAAAAAGAAACGGAGGGCACTGATTGGCTGCGCTGATTCGATTGGACGAGAATGTCGTTATAGCTGTATTGTAGTTTGCTGATTGGTGTAGGAATGTTCTGTGTAGTTTCACGTAGTTTCCTCTGTTGGCTCGGATCGGACACTGGGGTTAAACACAGCACCACTCCACCTCCTGTGGACTTGGTTTTATTTTTATTTTTTAATCTGTTCCTTTTTCCTGTCGTTTCTTTCTGTTTTTCTGTCGTTCACCCTGTGGACTGGTTGTTGTTGTTGTGCGTGCAGGTCAGTAGCACCCTCTGCTGCTTTTAGCTGGAGGTGCAGCCTCACCGCTGTACAACCCAAACAATTAATTACACACTCCTGCTCCACACAAACACCACACACAACTTACTTTTCTCCTTCACCCTTAAAAAAGTGGTTCTTCAAAGGTTCTTCAGTCAAGGCAGTGGGGTCTAAAAGTCTGAGAGCACTAGTGAAAGTGCGTCTGTTGTGCACTCTTTTCTAATTTAATATGGTTTTCATTACAAATGATATTATCAGCGTAACAATGAGAATGAAAATAGAACCTTTGAAATTTTAACATGAATTTCAGGTTTTCTTGTTTATTATTTGGTACGTCCACCTTTTTGCGTAAATGACAACGCACACTCGGGCTGGACAACACAAGATTGTGCAAAAGCCTCTGATGAGCGGATCAAATTGACCTGAGTGTCATTTCAACACAAGGAACAAGGCCTTTACCTGGTCAGTTTCATAAAAGTGACCTATAAATAGCGCAGAATCTTCAGTATTTCTTATTTTGGTTTTTGGTTTGAAATTTTGTTTGAAATTTTTCAAAGTTCTTAAATTTTCTCATTCAGTTGGGTTTAAATCTCAGATGTTTAGTGTGGTCTTAGACTTTTGGACCCCATTGTGTGTGAACAGGTATCTCAATGACAATTCAAAGAACCTTTCAAATGCATAATTCAGTGATACTTTTATAAACCTACCCTCTTTAAAGAACATTTTAATGGTTCTGTATAGCTCCAAAAAGAATTCTGCTGTACTTACAAGTCATGGAACCTTTTTTGCTACTATATAGAACCATTTTTGCAAAGAGTGCAAACACTCCTTCTGCTCCAGTAGACACTACACCCCTCCTCTCAGTCCTGTATGTGTTGTACAGCTCTGTTCTCCTCTGTATAGACCCATAACGGCGTTGGCTGGACTAGAACAGGACTCCGATGGGTAGGAATGTGACATATAGAATATTTTATTGATTTTGAAGCAGAAAACTCTATATAATAATAAAATCTGTAAGGTTCATTTGCAATCTCAGGTTCCATTGGACCAAATAAAGTTTTTTAATCAGAGAAGGTGTGGTCATTGTTTGATTTTGTGTAAAGGAAACAGGGTAAAAAGGTTTGTAAAATAACTTTTTTGGAGAGTTTATAATATACACACGTGTAATAATAATGTCTACTTCAAAGGAATTTCCACCAATGTTTCTTCACATTTCTTCATATTAAAAATGGTTTAGATGTAAACAGAGTGGTTCAGAGTGGTTTGGTGTGAAACGCTCCGTTCTAGATAAACTTACCGAGTCAGAACTGTTCACAGTGGTGGTGATAGGAACCAGACGTCCACCTCTAAAAGCTCCCTCACAGAAAGTTCCTACATGAAATGGTTATGAATTCACTGCCTGATGACTGAGACACTGTTTTATGATAGTTTAGAGAACTTAAACTCCATTCATGGTGGAGGGATACATGCAGGGCGCTGTGAGGCAAAATAGTCCCCAAAGAAAACTTATTTCAGATTTTCCACTATTTTCCATCATCAACATTCCATATAAACTCAGAAGACTCGTGTAGGTTCACTGGTGGTTCTGGATAGTAAATAAAATGTCTATATCTGTGTTGTAGTCATGGCGACGCCTGGTTCCCATCACCACCACTGTAAAGACATCTGAACCAATTCACACCAAACCCCTCTGAATCTACTGTGTACGACGCGCCTATTGAATTATAAGTTTGAAAAATCTATAATTCCTGTTTCATGTAAAATATTGATTGATATGAATAATTCCGTTTTTAATGTGGTTCTGCTGTGCTGGTTCAGCTCCTGTTCTGCTTCACTGTTGATCACACTTCTCATTTTGGAGCTTCAGCGTTTCATTTTAGACCAAATGGATCCTAAAAGAGAAAAATAGTCTAACAAATCTCAGTTCCTGTGCTGAGAGATGCTGGATGGACTCAGAAGATCTACTGCAGTTATTTAAGTTACTCAGTGCTTTAGTAGTTTTTCTGAGCTGCTTCTGTTAAAGTTGTTTTTTTGGCAAGATACTTTCACTGCAGGCGTTATTTCACTGCAGCAACAGTACTTTTACTAGTTCAGGCTACTCTACACTCGGTTCTTCATGGGTTCTTTAATATAGGGAATAGTTCTCTTAAGTTCTATATAGGAACATTTAGTGCTGACACAGTTCTCTGCATGGTGAAATGGTTCTTCAGACTGATGGAGAATGTGTTTATGGTTCTATATAGCACCAAAAAGGATCTATTACAATATCAAGCTTGTAACAATAGAAGAATGCTTCCTGGTGCTGTATAGAACCATATACAACATGTTCTTCATCAGTCTGAAGAACCATTTCACCATGCAGAGAACTGTGAAAATATGAAATGGTTCTAAAAAGCACTTGTGGTTTTTTACTAAAGAACCCCTGGGACCACCCTAGAGCTTAAGAACCCATAGCATGGTAGACCGTGTTCTGTTGTAACTGGGATGTTACAGTTTCTTTCATTAACGCTGAATAACTTAAACCTGTCCAGCAGAAACTCCCTTTGCTCCTCTGCTGGACATCCGGCTTAAGTTATCTGGCTAACTGTGTTAAATATCCCCGAGATTTTAGTTGCCGCCTTCAGGTCTCATCGTCTGAGCCCCACCAGCCTGGAGGACGAAGGCCAGCGCGGTCCTGCATCTTCACACAGTGAAGTCCACAGCAGCACCACTGAGAGCCTCAACACTTTCAGAGAATACACAGTTTGTTTGTTTGCTTGTTTGTTTGCTTGTTTATAGATCATTGTTTACCTCCCAGCACTGAGGAGTAACTTTGGACTGGAGGTGAATAAAACATATAGCATAAATGTACACTAGCTACTGCCTCTATCTTACTGCCTCTATCTTACTGCAGCTTCTACACTAGTGCTGCCTCTATCTTACTGCAGCTTCTACACTACTGCTGCCTCTATCTTACTGCAGCTTCTACACTAGTGCTGCCTCTATCTTACTGCAGCTTCTACACTACTGCTGCCTCTATCTTACTGCAGCTTTTACACTAGTGCTGCCTCTATCTTACTGCAGCTTCTACACTACTGCTGCTTCTACTGCCACTGTCTCTACACTACTGCTGCCTCTACTGCCACTTTGTCTACACTACCGCTGCCACTGTCTTTACACTACTGCTGCCTCCACTGCCACTGTCTCTATACTACTGCTGCCTTTACTGCCACTGTCTCTACACTACTACTGCTGCCTCAAATAACACTGTCTCTGCACTACTACTGCTGCCTCCACTGCCACTGTCTCTACACTACTGCTGCCTCTTCTGCCACTTTGTCTACACTACTGCTGCCTCTACTGCCACTTTGTCTACACTACTGCTGCCTGTACTGCCACTGTCTACGCTACTGCTGCCTCTACTGCCACTGTCTCTACACTACTACTGCCTCTACTGCCACTGTCTCTACACTACTACTACTTTTGCCTCAAATAACACTGTCTCTACACTACTACTGCTGCCTCCACTGCCACTGTCTACACTACTGCTGCCTCTACTGCCACTGTCTCTACACTACTACTGCCTCTACTGTCACTGTCTCTACACTACTGCTGCCTCTACTGCCACTGTCTCTACATTACTACTGCCTCTCCTGCCACTGTCTACACTACTGCTGCCTCTACTGCCACTGTGTCTACACTACTGCTGCCTCTACTCTCACTGTCTCTACACTACTGCTGTCTTTACTGCAGCTTCTATGCTACTGCTGCCTCTACTGACACTATCTCTACACTAGTGCTGCCTCTGTTATGCCAGGAGAACGTTACCTACCAGAATGCAGAGCCAACAGTAGAGTTTGGTGGAGGAGGGATGATGGGCTGGGCTGTTTCTCAGGGTTTGGGCTCTCAGTTCCAGTGAAGGGTGATGTTGATGCTGCAGCACAAAGACATTTTACACAGTGATCTGCTTCCAGCTTTGTGTCAGCAGTTTGGGGAAGAGCCTTTCCTGTTCCAGCATGACTGAGCCCCTGAGCACAAAGCAGCTCCATAAAGACATGGAGTGACCAGTTTGGTGTGGATGAACTCCAGTGGCCCTCACAGAGCCCTGACCTCAACCCCACTGAACACCTTTGGGATGAACCGGAACGTCGATTGAGAGCCAGAGCCTCTCGTCCAACATCAGTGTCTGACCTCACAAATGGATTTTAGACTGAATGAGCACAAATTCCCACAGACTCTCCAACATCTTGTAGAAGCTTCCCAGATGAGTGGAAGCTGCTACAGCCGCAAAGGGGGACCAACTCCACATTAATGCCCATAGTTGTGGAATGGGACATCCAACAAGCTCATATAGGTGTGATGGTCAGGTGTCCACATACTTTTAGCCATATAATGTATATTTAGGGGATGGGACAAAATGTCTGTTTTGCAATGACCAAATGGCAGATTGTTTGAAGTTTTAATGTTTATAGAAATTATATTATCAAACTATGTTTATTGGGTTTCTACATTGTTACCTACAAGACTCTCTTCCATGGTCACCACTGTACTGTGTGTCCAGCAGGGGGAGCCAGTGAATCAAGGTGCATAAGTGAGTGAGCTCAGATTCTGAAGATCCAACCATCCTTCAGAGTTTACAGTAACTCAGCACAACCCAGGATCACTAAGGTTTACTATCTGAAGTGTATCGACTCCAACACCACTGAAGTTCAGATTCCTAGACGATTCCCAAACGAGTACTTCATCTGGTAAAAACAGAAAGATAATTAAAGAGTAAATTTTACAGAATGTGCGAAAGGTTTTGGAGCAAGAACTTTAGAGCAGTTTATGAATGAATCTACAAAAATAACAACACTTTAAAAATGTGTAATAACATGTAAAAAGGGTTCCAGATCCTTTTCTCTTAGTTGCCATGAAAACACTGATTTAAGAAGCCTTCATCAAAAAGCTGTAGGGTCAGAGTTCATCACTGTCATGACCAAAGCTTGTTTCTCCAAAATGGTAACTTTATAAGAAGAGGAAAAAAACTTTAATGAAACAATATTTTTTCCAAGTCACTTTGGGCCATTTCTATTCATTCAGCATGAAATCTGAACACACTGTAAAGTTCAGTGGGCACTTTCAAAATGATGTAATAAATAAATAAATAATGGAGGTGCAAGGTTTTGTTTTGAAAGCGATGATTCATTAGATATGATTTAGATTTTTTCTTTTACTTCTTTTATTTAGTTGAACAACAAAATTATATTTTAAGTGCCTGAATTTTTACCATTATTATCTCATTTTCATTATTTTGTTATATATTTGTTTGTTTAATTGTTATTATTCAAATGCTTATTCTTATTTTAATTATGATTATTTCATTATGATTTTAGTCAGGATAATTATTTTTAGTTCGCTTGTTGATCTTATTCTCCTTTTATTTTATTTTGATTTGATTCGATTTTATTAACTTTTACATTTTAGCTATGTTTTAATTATTGTTTTACATTTTTATTGTATTTTTATGTGTTTTTATTATTAATGTTTAATTTTTTTATACTTACCTAATTTGAGTCATTGTTTTTATTAAATTTACTTTTATTATTTGATGTGTTCTTAAACATTATCAATCCCTTTTCCTGTATCAACTCAGCAACATTGTAAATGAGGGTCACCCTCAATGTTCTCTGAGATTAAATAAAGGTTGATTGATTGATTGATTGATTGAAGTTAGCTAACTAAATCATGGGTCGCAGTCTAACAAGCCGAGCGCAGAACTTTACTACTACTGGACTTTACATTAAACTCACGTCGCTGCCTGAAGATGAAACATTAATGGAAACATCAGTTTCAGTCTAAATCCAGAGCGCTTTTATTCTATAAATGTTTGCAGTCATTTTCATCAGGTTTTACTGTACTTTTTAAAAAGATGGTCCTACAAGGGTTTTTAGTAAAAACAACATTTATTTGTGTAGCACTTTTTATAACTAGTGTTGTCTCAAAGCAGCTTTACAGAAAAACAGCTTATAGAAGGAAAGAAGTTTATGGAAATAAAGCAGTGTATGGAAGGAAAGCAATTTATGGAAGGAAAGCAGTTTATGGAAGGCTCAAAACAATAAAGAGAAAATAAAAGAAAAAGAAAATAAAAAGAAAAATAAATAGGAGTCCATGTAGAGAGAAATCTTCCATTGTTATAAGCTTCACATCTTAACAGTAGCAGAACCCTTTTCGGTGCTATATAGAGCCAGAGGTATTATCTAGAAACATATACAACTCCTTGTCTTAAATGTTACCATACCCAGGAACCCATTACGCATGAAACGGTTCTACACATAGCTCATGGTTCTAAATGCAACCATTCCCTTAACTAAACCCGTGAAGGACGGTGTGTTTAAGAGTGTAGCTTTAAGAGGTTGTTGGCAGGTGTGATCCAGCTGCACTGTGATAGGAGCAGAAGTCCTGCCCCGTGTGGAGGGGTAGGGGGTAAGTGTGAGGGTGTATTTAGGGCAGGAAAGTGTTAAAATACCCATTTTTCTAAATTGTTTTTTGTGTTTTATGTTTTCCCCGATGCAGAGGAAATAAGCACGGGCAGGGGTAATAAACAGGGTAGGGGTGATGAACAGGGTAGGGTTAATAAGCAGGACAGGGGTAATGAACAGGGTAGGGTTAATAAGCAGGGCAGGGGTAATAAGCAGATCAGGGTAATAAGCAGGGCAGGGGTAATAAGAAGTGCAGGGTTAATAAGCAGGACGGGGTAATAAACAGGGTAGGGTTAATAAGCAGGACAGGGTTAATAAGCGGGGAAGGGTTAATAAGCAGGACGGGGTAATAAGCAGGACAGGTTAATGAGCGGGGAAGGGTTAATAAGCAGGACAGGGGTGATAAACGGTAGGGTTAATATGCAAGGTGGGGGGTAACAAGCAGGTCAGGGGTAATAAGCAGGGTTGGGTTAATAATAGGGTTCCAGCAGGTCAGGGGGTGTTAAGCAGGACATGGGAGTGGAAGACCAAGGCATAATTTATGTGTCGTGGGGGAGCTGAGAGGGTTGGGGGTATGAGAGTGTTTAGTGAGGGGTAACTGAAGGGCAGGAGAACTCTAAGGAGGCATGTGTGAGGGGTAATATAACCCACCAGCATGACATTGAACCTGCAGAAACAGCAGATACGCTCTATACTACGGCCAAAAAAGGAGAGAGTGGAGGAGAGAGAGAGAGTTAGATACAGAGAGAGTTAGATATAGAGAGAGTTAGATATAGAGAGAGTTAGAGAGAGAGTGAGAGAGTTAGAGTGTGTGTGAGAGAGAGACAGAGAGAGAGAGCAGGTGTGGAGGTCTGCAGTGAGGAGCGGCTCTGTATCTCCTGAGTTTCACCTGTCGTCTCTCTCTGTGAGGACAGTAACTGCGACTCTGCTGGTGAGTTTAATTCGTTTATATGTAAATCCTGTTTACAGTGTTTTCTCAGCCTCGTCTCTGAGTCTGCTGAACCTGCAGCATGTGATCAATTAGCAGGCAATCATTTCAGTTTTCAGCATGTTTTCCTGATCTTTGACCATATCAGAAACACATCGCTGAGGTTTGGGGAGCGCGTGGTCTACATGGACACAAGTAGTATGCAAAAGTTTTAAGACCCCTGGTCAAATGGCACGTTGTTGATTTTCCAAGTGATACTAAGTTAACACATCCTCTACAGAGAACTTGCATATGGCACTTTTCTGCACATTTTAATGTATGATTTCTATTTATTTGCTGAGTTTACCATATTGGAAACAAAAACATAAAACTAAATAAAAAATAAAGGCCATATTTTATGTTTCATATTTCCCCCAGTGTGTTAAATTCAGCAGATGAATAGTAAGTGTGTATTAAAATGTGTAGAAGTGTGTCTCTGTAGAGGACTTTACACAACCTGTGATTTGACCAGGGGTGCCCAAACTTTTGCATACGTGTGTTCAAGTTGAAGAACGAGACACAAATTGCTGCAATTCTAATAGAAGCCAATGAGAATCAGCAGCAATCACACCGTAACATCAACCATCAATCACTAATAAACCACCTTTAATCACACCATAACATCAACCATCAATCACTAAAACAACACCTTTAATCACACCATAACATCAACCATCAATCACTAATACACCAGTATCAGTCACACCATAACATCAAACATCAATCACTAATATACCACCTTTAATCACACCATAACATCAACCATCAATCACTAATATACCACCTTTAATCACACCATAACATCAACCATCAATCACTAATACACCAGTATCAGTCACACCATAACATCAAACATCAATCACTAATATACCACCTTTAATCACACCATAACATCAACCATCAATCACTAATATACCACCTTTAATCACACCATAACATCAACCATCAATCACTAATACACCACCTTTAATCACATCATAACATCAACCATCAATCACTAATACACCACCTTTAATCACACCATAACATCAACCATCAATCACTAATAAACCAGTATCAGTCACACCATAACATCAACCATCAATCACTAACACCATAATAACAATAATACATTAGTATTAGTGATTGATAGTCGGTGTTATGGTGTATTAGTGATTGATGGTTGATGTTATGGAGTGATTAATGCTGGTGTTTTAGTCATTGATGGTTGATGTTATGGTGTGATTAAAGGTGGTGTATTAGTGATGGTTGATGTTATGGTGTGATTAAAGGTGGTGTTTTAGTGATGGTTGATGTTATGGTGTGATTAAAGGTGGTGTATTAGTGATTGGTGGTTGATGTTCTGGTGTGATTAATGCTGGTGTATTAGTGATTGATGGTTGATGTTAAGGTGTGATTAATGCTGGTGTATTAGTGATTGATGGTTCATGTTATGTGATTAATGCTGGTGTATTAGTGATTGATGGTTCATGTTATGGTGTGATTAATGCTGGTGTATTAGTGATTGATGGTTGATGTTATGGTGTGATTAAAGGTGGTGTTTTAGTCATTGATGGTTGATGTTATGGTGTGATTAAAGGTGCTATATTAATGATTGATGGTTGATGTTATGGTGTGATTAATGCCGTTGTATTAGTGATTGATGGTTGATGTTATGGAGTGATTAATGCTGGTGTATTAGTGATTGATAGTTGGTGTTACGGTGTTTTAGTGATTGATGGTTGATGTTATGGTGTGATTGATGCTGGTTTGTTAGTGATTGATGGTTGATGTTATGGTGTGATTAATGCTGGTGTATTAGTGATGGTTGATGTTCTGGTGTGATTGATGCTGGTTTGTTAGTGATTGATGGTTGATGTTATGGTGTGATTATGCTGGTGTATTAGTGATGGTTGATGTTCTGGTGTGATTGATGCTGGTTTGTTAGTGATTGATGGTTGATGTTATGGTGTGATTAATGCTGGTGTATTAGTGATGGTTGATGTTCTGGTGTGATTGATGCTGGTGTATTAGTGATTGATGGTTGATGTTCTGGTGTGATTGATGCTGCTGTATTAGTAATTGATGGTTGATGTTCTGGTGTGATTGATGCTGGTGTATTAGTGATTGATGGTTGATGTTACGGTGTGATTGATGCTGGTGTATTAGTGATTGATGGTTGATGTTCTGGTGTGATTGATGCTGGTGTATTAGTGATTGATGGTTGATGTTCTGGTGTGATTGATGCTGGTGTATTAGTGATTGATGGTTGATGTTCTGGTGTGATTGATGCTGGTGTATTAGTGATTGATGGTTGATGTTCTGGTGTGATTGATGCTGGTGTATTAGTGATTGATGGTTGATGTTATGGTGTGATTGATGCTGGTGTATTAGTGATTGATGGTTGATGTTATGGTGTGATTGATGCTGGTGTTTTAGTGATTGATGGTTGATGTTATGGTGTGATTGATGCTGGTGTATTACTGATTGATGGTTGATGTTCTGGTGTGATTAATGCTGGTGTATTAGTGATTGATAGTTGGTGTTATGGTGTATTAGTGATTGATGGTTGATGTTATGGTGTGATTAATGCTGGTGTATTAGTGATTGGTGGTTGATGTTATGGTGTGATTAAAGGTGTTGTTTTAGTGATTGATGGTTGATGTTATGGTGTGATTAAAGGTGGTGTATTAGTGATTTATGGTTGATGTTATGGTGTGATCAATGCTGGTGTATTAGTGATTGATGGTTGATGTTATGGTGTGATTAAAGGTGGTGTATTAGTGATTGATGGTTGATGTTATGTGATTAATGCTGGTGTATTAGTGATTGATGGTTCATGTTATGGTGTGATTAATGCTGGTGTATTAGTGATTGATGGTTCATGTTATGGTGTGATTAATGTTGGTGTATTAGTGATTGATGGTTGATGTTCTGGTGTGATTAATGCTGGTGTATTAGTGATTGATGGTTCATGTTATGGTGTGATTAAAGGTGGTGTATTAGTGATTGATGGTTCATGTTATGTGATTAATGCTGGTGTATTAGTGATTGATGGTTGATGTTCTGGTGTGATTAATGCTGGTGTATTAGTGATTGATGGTTCATGTTATGGTGTGATTAAAGGTGGTGTATTAGTCATTGATGGTTGATGTTATGGTGTGATTAAAGCTGGTGTATTAGTGATTGATGGTTGATGTTATGGTGTGATTAAGGGTGGTATATTAGTGATTGATGGTTGATGTTCTGGTGTGATTAATGCTGGTGTATTAGTGATTGATGGTTGATGTTATGGTGTGATTAAGCGTGGTATATTAGTGATTGATGGTTGATGTTATGGTGTGATTAAGCGTGGTATATTAGTGATTGATGGTTGATGTTATGGTGTGATTAAGCGAGGTATATTAGTGATTGATGGTTGATGTTATGGTGTGATTAATGCTGGTGTATTGGTGGTTGATGGTTGATGTTATGGTGTGATTAATGCTGGTGTATTAGTGATTGATGTTTGATATTATGGTGTGATTAATGCTGGTGTATTAGTGATTGATGGTTGATGTTATGGTGTGATTAATGCTGGTGTATTAGTGATGGTTGATGTTATGGTGTGATTAATGCTGGTGTATTAGTGATTGATGGTTGATGTTACAGTGTGATTAAAGGTGGTGTATTAGTGATTGATTGTTGATGTTACAGTGTGTTTGATGCTGGTGTATTAGTGATTGATGGTTGATGTTATGGAGTGATTAATGCTGGTGTATTAGTGATTGATGGTTGATGTTATGGTGTGATTAAAGGTGGTGTATTAGTGACTGATGGTTGATTTTATGGTGTGATTAAAGGTGGTATATTAGTGATTGATGGTTGATGTTATGGTGTGATTAATGCTGGTGTATTAGTGATTGATGGTTGATGTTATGGTGTGATTAATGCTGGTGTATTAGTGATTGATGGTTGATGTTACGGTGTGATTAATGCTGGTGCATTAGTGATTGATGGTTGATGTTATGGTGTGATTGATGCTGGTGTATTAGTGATTGATGGTTGATGTTATGGTGTGATTAATGCTGGTGCATTAGTGATTGATGGTTGATGTTATGGTGTGATTAATGCTGGTGTATTAGTGATTGATGGTTGATGGTATTGTGTGATTAATGCTGTTGTATTAGTGATTGATGGTTAATTTTATGGTGTGATTAATGCTGGTGTATTAGTGATTGATTGTTGATGTTACAGTGTGTTTGATGCTCGTGTATTAGTGACTGATGGTTGATGTTACAGTGTGATGGATGCTGGTGAATTAGTGATTGATGGTTGATGTTACGGTGTGATTAATGCTGGTGCATTAGTGATTGATGGTTGATGTTATGGTGTGATTGATGCTGGTGTATTAGTGATTGATGGTTGATGTTATGGTGTGATTGATGCTGGTGTATTAGTGATTGATGGTTGATGTTATGGTGTGATTGATGCTGGTGTATTAGTGGTTGATGGTTGATGTTATGGTGTGATTGATTCTGGTGTATTAGTGATTGATGGTTGATGTTATGGTGTGATTGATGCTGGTGTATTAGTGATGGATGATTGATGTTACAGTGTGATTGATGCTGGTGTATTAGTGGTTGATGGCTGATGTTACAGTGCACTGTATGACTGACACTGAAAGTACTCATGTAGCTACAGTGAAAGTCACACTGTTTCTGTTAGCATTAGACTGAGTGACTTTGTGGTCAGTGACAGTGTTACAGCATGCTGGCTCACCTTGGGTCCGGCAGGTCGTGTCACAGATTTCCATGAAAAAATTCAAGCAAAAACCTCTGTTTGATTAATGTAACCACACACATTTTTTAAACTGTGCTCCATGTTGAAATGTTCCCAGGAGAGGTTAATGTAGTGCTGTGTGCATGTGTGTGTATATGTGTGTATGTGTGTGTATATGTGTGTATGTGTGTGTATGTGTGTGTATGTGTGTACATGTGTCCTCACAGCATTTAAGTGTGCCAACATGGCGGGTACAGTTCCAGCTCTCCCAGAATCTTTTGCTCCGAGTTCAGACAGCGTCTTTTCAGACCAGTTTGGGTTCTACTCCCTGGACTCCAACGTTCCTGGACTTTCCAAAGTCATTCTGGACAAACTCAGCATGAAGGATTACTCAGAATACAGGTGATACACACAGCTGTCTTTCTTTCTGTATATCCCTGTTGACCTTTTTCATTTCTTTAACTGAACAGGAAATTTACTCCATGCACATACCGGACCAACTAGCTCACTCATTCAGACATAGTCCGATTATCTGACATTATTAGTCCTGAGTTAGAGCTAAGATTACTGCACATATAGTTAAAGGTTCAGGTTAGGTGGACTGTACTCACAGCACAGCTAAAGCTGGCTTGATTTGGTGCTTTTGTATTTCGCACAACTTCTAAACACCTTTTTGCACACCATCACACTGTGGCCCATAAATCAGACACCCTCTCTCAAAACTAAGACTAGATTGGGCAGTAGTTTTTCTGTCACACTGCAACAGTGAATATGGTTAGCAGTTCAATTCAGTTACCCTGCAGATAAAACCAGAAAGGTGCTGAAACCAGAAGAGCATTCTGGATTTTTTTTTCTCAATTGACCTCCTAACCCCTCACTCTCTCTCCCTCCCTCTCAGGGCTGCTCTGGAGGGGAAGTCTAAGGTTGGCTTTCGTTCTCATAAGGAGATGTTTCAGAAACTGGAGGAGACGTTTCAGTTCTGCGCCTGCTGTTCTAAACTCCCCTCCAATCTGTCTGATCCTAAAGCACTCAAACGCTGCATCAAGTGAGTCACTCACATCTACGCAGACACCTAAACAGGTGTGGTCGTATATGTAGATATGTCAGTGTGAACTCACAGGGCTTTCTAGGACATAAGAGAAGGCCTACTGATTTGTGGAAGCTAAAAAAAACGTCTGTAATTTTTATGAAATTGAATCATCATTCTTGTTGTATATAAATATATAATATATTTTGTTGTTACGTTTTGTTTGGAAGCAAAAGGCTTAAAATCTTGAAATGCCCAAAAGAAAACTGTCCAATTAAATGTTTACCCCTGTGGTATCCAGGTAGATACAGCTGAGCGAGCTCTTTCATTGGTTAGGACTTCAGGAGCTGGGCTGAAGGCCTTACACGTTAGATTAACTACCGACATAACTAGGAAGTGAACCAATTACGCTTTTATTTACAATGAGTGGAACCATTTTCAAGACTCTAGGCATTCTGGAAGTTCTAGATATGTCACTAGCTGTGGATACAGGTCGTAGTCTATGCAGGTTCTGGTTAGTTGTTTGGAAGGGAAAACAGCGGCGGCAGCTGTATGCAGGACTCTTTACTGAAAGAATTACTGTAAAACTGATACATACAAACTCAGATAAATGATAATGCCTGTCACCAGCTTCAAATAAAACATGTAGAATGTCTTTTACAAGCTCTAAATGTCTAGGTTTAATCTAGAATGGCCTAAAATGTTTCGATTAATTTGAAGCTTAGCTCTCAGATACTATTGGAATCCCATAGGGGTGCTAGTGGAAATTAGCTTTATTTTAGAGATATTTTCACATGTTTTTGACCCAGTCTTGATATAAATGGCCTGAACTGCTAGCCCTTATATATATGTGTGGTGTGTGTGTGTGGGTGGGTGGGTGTGTGTGTGTGTGTGTGTGTGTGTGTGTGCGCTAATATGTGTACATATGTGTTTGTGTTTACATACAGAGGGGTCCAAAAGTCTGAGACCACTTTGAAAATTTAAGAATGTATTCATTTAATCCTGTGTAGAAACAACATTTTAAACATTAAAAAACAAAGAAATGATAAGACAATTAAAATGAAAAAGAAATATTTAGGTCACTATTTTAAGTATTTTTTCAGTAAATTTGTGACATTGACCATGTAAGGTCTTTGTACAAATAGGTCAGACTTTTTTTAGCTTTATCTGCTCCAGTGAAGCTTGTGTCTCTCAGGTGGATCTGACCTACTGATCAGAAGCTTTACACAAACGTGTGGAGTTCATGCAGCTCGAGTGCACTAAAGGGGGAAATGCATGCTCAGAAATTCTAAAATTCATTTTAAAATCTAAATTTTTTTACAGTTATAATATCATTTGTAATGACAATTTTTACATTAAGTTAAAGAATAATGTGAAATAGAGTCATTTTCACTAGTGCTCTCAGACTTTTGTTCCCCAGTGTAGGTACTAAAGTGTCTGTTAGTCAAACAGATTAGAAGTCAAGGGCATAAATACACACAGCCCTAATGGTCATTCTAGATCCTCATCGTGTTGTAGTGCCTTTAACTGATGGGCTCTAAAACAGAACACCACACACACACACACACACACACACACGCGCACACACACACACACACACACGCACACACACACACACGCACACACACACACACACACACACACACACACACACACAACACACACACACACACACACGCACACAAACACACACACACACACACACACACACACACACACACGCACGCATGCACACACGCACACACACACACACACACACACACGCACAGTAGTGGCTGTAAGGCATCTGCCCCCAGAGCATTATCACCATGCTAAACCTCTGCACTAGCCCTCACCCCAGCAGCTCCCAGCAGAGCTAACAGTGGCGGCCTTTAATCAACACATTACCGCAACATAACACAACAGGCAGTTAGCCTAGCATTAACCTACCACAGGCAGTTAGCCTAGAATTAACCTATTATTCAGTTTGAGATAAATTTTCTACTCAAACATTAAACTTTCTGAAATTTAATATTCTCTTACAAATATGAATTTAATATACACTATTTGGCCAAATGTATGTGGACACCTCACCATTACGCCTATGTGAGTTTGTTGGATGTCCCATTCCAAATCCATAAGCCGTTGTCCCCCATTGCAGCTATAACAGCCTCCACTCTTCTGGGAAGCTTTCTACAAAATGTTGGAGTGTCTGTGGGAATTTGTGTCCATTCAGTCAAAAGAGCATTTGTGAGGTCAGACACTGATGTTGGACAAGAGGTTCTGGCTCACAATCTCCATTCTAGTTCATCCAAAAGGAGTTCAGTGGGGTTGACGTCAGGCCACTGGAGTTCCTCCACACCAAACTGGTCACTCCATGTCTTTATGGAGCTGCTTTGTGCTCAGGGGCTCAGTCATGCTGGAACAGGAAAGGCTCTTCCCCGAACTGCTGACACAAAGCTGGAAGCAGATAACTGTGTAAAATGACTTTGTGCTGCAGCATCAACATCACCCTTCACTGGAGCTGAGAGCCCAAACCCTGAGAAACAGCCCAGCCCATCATCCCTCCTCCACCAAACTGTACTGTTGGCTCTGCATTCTGGTGGGTAACGTTCTCCTGACATCCACCAAACCCAGATTCATCATCAGACTGACAGATAGTGAAGCTGATTCATCACTCCAGAGAACACGGTTCCACTGCTCCAGAGTCCAGCGGCAGCGCTTTACACCCCTCCAGCCGACACCTGGCATTGTGCATAGTGATCTCAGGCTTGTGTGCAGCTGCTCAGCCATAGAAACCCATTTCATGAAGCTCCCAATGTGGTCTGCGTGGTCTACCTATTCGTGGCTGAGCTATTGTTGCTCCTAGATGCTTCCATTTCACAATAATAGCACTTACAGTTGTCTGGGGCAGATCTAGCAAGGCAGCAGTTTCACAAACTGACTTGTGGCAGAGGTGGCGTCCTATGACAGTGACATGTTTAAAGTCACTGAGCTTTTCAGAAAGACCCATTCTACTGTGTTTGACTATGGAGACTGCATGACTGTGTGCTTGATTTTGTACACGTGATAACAAAAAGTGTGGCTGAATCACTGGAATTCAATAATTAGTAGGGTTATAATTAGTGTCCACATACTTTTGACCATATCATGCACCTTTATAGAGCAGCAACATAAGTGAGAAGGTGTGGTCAGAGTTCACATGCACATGCCAATCGCATGAACTTGCGGTCAACTAAGTAATGCTTATATTCAGTGTCATTATTGTCAGTGTGAGGAGCTGGCATGGATACTTTAATGGATAGTTTAACATTGATCCCACTTACTACTGAAATTGAAATAAAGATTTTGATGAATGAATTGATATTTTGACAAACTAGTCCATTAACCAATGGCTGGTGTAGCATTAGCAGAGCAGCGGTTTATGTCTATATTTCGGTGTTTAAGTATAGTTTATAGAGGAAAGGCAGCTGAACCCTAGGTTAAAGCTTAGCGTGTAGATAGCTGGTGTGCTAAAGGTCAATGTAGGGGTTTAGGAGTGTTTGGCCCCTCTAGGCTCAACATCTGACTAGGGCAGAATGTCTGTCTCCATGTAGCAATAAAGAGCCATAAATACTCCCCACATACTGCTCTCTCTCTCACTCTTTCTCTCCCTCTCCCTCTCTCTGAGTTAGGCAAAGATCAGAGTTTACGATCAGCTGGCGTGCTTAAGAGAGCTTTGTCACACGCAGCATGATGCCATGATGATATGCGTGGCTGCAGTGGTAAAAACGTCTAAACTGCTGAAAGGATGATGCCACAGCTCTAAAAAAAGCACTGGGACCTTTTCCTCTCTGGAAACTTTAACTCTTAATCCAACTCATCACCTGTCCAACTTCCACCTCTCTTTCTGCATGCTTGTCTCAATGCCTGTCTTTTGAATTGAGTGTTAATTTCCAATCCATTAATGGTTATTACCTCTGAGCAATAGTCTTTGATCTTGATGTCATTGTGTGTAGAAATGGTATATTTTTTTGATATGAGATGTGATGAAAGACTAAAGAAAGCTAATATGAGGATATAATGAAGACTGTTCAGTTTAAAGTTCACCTTACTGTGTGTCTCTGTCTGCCATACTAGGTGTCTAAATGTGTATTACTGCAGTAAAGACTGTCAAAGGAAGGACTGGCCTCTCCATAAGAAGTTCTGTAAGATGCTACGCATGGTGGCCATAGACAGGCTGGTGGAGTGGCTCATTCACACAGGTGAGGGTCCAGAAAAGGATGCCTATGGATTAGTCCTGCTTGAGTGTTAAAGAATAAAAAAAAGGTAAAACAATTTGCACCCATATATGATGTGGTGTACCACAGGGTTCGGTTCTAGGGACAAAACAAAAGACAGGTGTTTTTTTTGTAGCTAGCCACACACCATACTAGACCAGTACATGTTATGGCGTACCACAAGGTTCAATTCTGGGAACAATCCAACAGATGGAAATTAATTTATAGCCAACCACAAACCATACTAGACTAGTTCATGATGTGGTGTACCACAGGATTCAATTCTGGGAACAAAAACAGAGATAGAAAGTTAATTTGTAGCTAGCCACAAATTATACTATACCGGGTCATGATGTGGTGTACCACAAGGTTCAGTTCTGGAAACAATCCAACAGATGGAAAGTTAATTTGTAGCTAACCACAAACGATACTGGACCAGTATGAAATATGATGTACTACAGGGTTCTATTAACTGTCTGTTTACTTCACAGACCTTTTAAAAGCCTCAGTTATTAACCAGAAAGCAAATTTTTTGTAGTTAAGTCACTTTTCCATTACTTTATAGGAGACTTGCCTTTCCCCACGGAGGCGTGGTCTCGTCCCGCTAAAGAGATACGATGCTGGGAGGACTGGCTATTCATGCAGGGTGACCTCACACCACGATTGGAGCCCATCATGTCTAGCAAAAACATGACAGACCTCTGGGCCAATGCCTGCAGGCCACGACCAGAGGACGTAGAACTTCGTGAGTCTGTGTGGCGTGTGTGTAGCGAGTTTCTCTCACGCCCACTGACGATTGGTCTGGGGATTCGGATGTGTTGTCTGGACCCATATTCCCGTCCGCTGACCGTCCACCTGGTGGGTGCCGGTCATAATGAAACCCTGGGGGCCAGGACTACAGACCTAGATGAGCTGAGTCGCATGTTCTCTGGCCACCAAGGCCTGGAGGTGGTGATGGTGGGGCCCGAGGTGGTTCAGGGGCCCATCATGAGGCCACCACTGAGGGTGTTTGGGCCCAGAGGAAAAGTTTATATCAGTGCCTACAAGGGCCTCTACCACCAGTTCTGGGAGGAAGTCGTGGAGAAAGGAAAGGCTGCCAGACCTGACCTTGTGGTGGGATTTCATCCAGGTATGGATAACTACTGTACTGACTCTACAGAATGCTTAGAGTGTAGACTTCCATGCAAAAAAATTGGCCAAGCACAAAATATTAAGGTTTTTACTGATGGTTTTGGGACTTGTCAGAGTCCAGATTTAAACCCTATACAGAATATTTGGTCTCATATTAAACACAAGCTAGCTTGGCAGTGTTTTTCAGCTGTTTAATGCTATTAATTAATGCTGAGTGCAACAACATTCTCTCTTCTTTCTGTAAAAGGCTTTCTGCAAATTTAAGCACAAAATGTTTAAGTACAAAACATTTAAAGAAATGAAAGGGAAAAATCTGTTTGTTTTAGATTTCTTGTTAAGACCATTAAAACATGTTTTGCCATTTTGGGCTTGGCTCATTTTTTTGCACTGGAGAGTACATATTTTTACCAAGGAGAATATAAGAGGGCTTAGCACTGAACCTTGAGACACTCACAAATCAAAAATCAGTGGTCTTTATCAGAGTTTCAGAACGTGGTCTTTGGGGTACAGTGAATGTCTCAGTTTTCTCAACACTGCCAAAATGCTAAATACCCATTTAAATTTCAGAACCAGTAATCAGTCATTCAGAATTATTGTTGTGACCCATGCTGTAAATAAAGCTAGATGGCTTTAATGTTTTATTGTAGGAATCGGGTTGAAAAATGATTGCGATAGTATTGGTGTTAGCTTGAATTTTTATTCCAATTTCCAATGTTGTTGCAAAATTAATTCAGGGTGCAAAACTGATTATGAATCAACCTCAGATTAAAATGTTGTTCCAATAAACCTAAAATTGACGCCTAATTGTAGATTAACAGAGATTCAAAGACTCAAAGTAAGGCTATGTTTACTGTATTTACTTGAATGCAGCCTTTATGGTTTCAGTACGTGTGCACAGTTAGAAAGTTCTGAAGGAGCTCCTGTAGTATGGGTTCCTGTGGAACACACACACACACACACACACACACACACCCACCCACGCACACACACACACCCACCCACACACACACTCACACACCCACCCACACACACACACACACACACACCACACACACACCACACACCCACCCCACCCACACACACACACACACACACTCACACACACACACACACCCACACACACACAGACATAATGCTGTAACTCATTCCCTCTGTGCTTTAACGCCAGACGTTTATTGGCCCTGGTGATGATTTGTTGAAACAGGTGGACCAATCTGCAGTTGACCCAGCATCACCACAGAAACCGCCCGTCCACTATCTTCTCTCTCACACACACACACACACACACACACACACACACACACACACACACACACACACACAGACACACACGCACACACTGAGGAAAACGATTATCACCACCTAAGAGTTGGTCCTGTCATTAGAAGTGAGTTTGATCGCTGTGGTAACGAAAATAGCTGGCACTGTCAAAACACGACACTGGGTTCTCACAGGAAAACTTCTTGCATGTAGATTTCTTTGTTCCATTTACAAATGAAATAAATGTAAGAAAGGCAGGTGATATTTGAGCATAGCTGTTAGCTTAAAAAGCCTTTTGCTTTTAAAAGTTTTAAAGGTGTTTTGATTGGCTGATTCCTCATCAGACTCTAGAACCTTCTCAAAGTTTATACTAACGCAAGGCTGCTAAAGTATAACTGTCTGCTGTTTTGATTATTGATCAAAATCGTATAATATAGCAACAGGACTGAAACGTACACAGTCCCTAAACACAACAATGCCGTTCACACCTGGGGATTTTATGTGACTTGTATTTGGATTGTAACCTGATTAGATTTCTCCAGTTAGCTGGATTGAAATCGGCGAACCGTATAACACCTAATATGCAAATCAGCTCATATACAACAGCCAGTTGCCTGTGTTGTTCTTTGATTTTCCTGTTCTATTTTCTTGATTTCCTGATTCACAGGAGTTACTCACTAATACCCACCAACACCATGACAGACAACGGATTTTGAACTTTACACTGGTAACAATCTGGATGGCCTTTTATTTTTAGGCCTGGAAAACGCAACATCTATTATTTAATAATAATAATAAGTTCAATTTACATAGCGCCTTTCACAACCCAAAGATGTTTTACAAAGTTTATTTCTATAAACAATCTGAAAGTTTGATTTGTCAGACCACAATACATGCTTCCACTGAGCATCAGTCCATTTCAGAAGAGCTCAAGCCCAGAGAAGTCAGTGGTGTTTCTCGATGTGGTTGATAACCTGTTTTTGTGGATGCAGCGACAAACAGTGTTTATTGACAACTGTTTGCCAAAATATTTCTGAGCGCATGTGTTGATCTCCATCACAGAACCATGCTGGGTTTTAATGATTTGGGCCTTTACGCACAGAGATTTCTGAATCTTTTGATGACATTATGCAGTGTAGAAGGTGAAATGCTGTCACTCGTTTAAGAATGTTGTTCTGAAATTCTTCAGTTTTCTTCTGATGCATTTTTGGCAAAGTGGCCTCGGCCCGTCTCCTCTCATAAAGGACTCAGCCTTTCTTAAATGCTCTTTTTATACCAAAGCATGACTGCATCACCTGATCCTCGAACTTTTTATGGTACTACACACCACTACACACACACAAACACACACATGCTTCCACCACGACATATTCAGGTTGGGTCGTATCTCTGAGGCTGAATTTAATACTGGCGTCTGTGTGTTAGACAGTAAGAACCAAAGCATGTTAAACACACACACACACTGTGAGCCTCTGTTATTAGTGTTGAGTAATAGTCTATATATTTAACTCATGCTACTTTAATTCTTAGCTTAATGCTGTTCCAGCTGATATCTCAGTGTATGTGTGTGTCTGTGTGTGTGGTTATGGGGGGCTTTTCTGTTGCTTAACACATTAGTGGGCTCTTATATACAGCAGCTGTTGGGATCATTATCAGACAGAGAAGAGAGTGAGTGAATGTGTGTGTATATATATATATATATATATATATATATATATATATATGTGTGTGTGTGTGTGTGTGTGTGTATGTTAAGTACCTCTACACTGAAAAAATAATTTAAAATAATATTAAATAAGTAGTTCTGCTTCTGAGCCATAGAGGTTTTTAAAAGTGGGCGTGGCCTGTGTTTTGCCATTAAATAGGTGCTTTAACTTCTATTTATAGTAGACACAAGAAATGATGAGGAATTACTTTTTGGTTGAACTTAGAGGTGACTGATCCAAAAGCCGGATTCACAAATGTGCCCTTTTTCTTATCTATATATTTTAAAAGTTGAGATGAAGTTCCGTTCTTCACAAAGATTCTTATGAATTTTCTTCATTTCTTAACTGTCCTCTCCAGAACAATTAAATATTTTCCTAACCGTACGACAGATTTACAGTCTCAGACTGTAAGAATACACAGAGTAAATCCCTTAAACTGTAACTTCTAATGAGTTTCACAACTTATGATTGTTGTCAGTAGGCCCTGTCACAATTACTACGTAATGGCCTCATTGCATTTATTTCAATTGAATGTTATTATTGAACTGCAAAAGTTGTCAGCTATCATAATCTAGTGTGACCAGATGGGGAGAATCCCCATTTTTGGTGGCCTGTTCCTGGCTGTAGCCGTCCTCAGAAATGATCCCGTGAATAAAAACACATCAGAAAGTCCTGAGAAAAACCAGCAGCAGAGCAGACGGGCAGACGTCTCACACTGTGCTTGTTTTGGCCAGCAGAGGGTGCTGCTGCTCTCTACTGACCACTTCTACCAGTCTCTCACCTAGTTTTAGAGAACACTGCCGTGTAAAACTCCACCAGAAGCTCGCAAGAGTCAAACGTCTTTTCAGGACTCGAGGTGACCGAGGGGTTAAAGCAGGGGTGGAGTTACGGGACTGAATCGCCAGCTGATCGGTGGCTCTGATCTGTACAGACAGACAGTCTACTAGAATGTAGCACCATGAGATTCACAAACAGAGCATCATTTTAAACTGAGTCGCTTTTTCAGCCTCCATATGTGACATATGGCATATGCTGATAGCGCCTCTGTCTGTCCAGAACTGGAGCTGCCCAGGGGTGAGTTTGGGGTCTGGATATTGGGCTACAGTCAATGACCTTTTTCTGTAACCACGGATTTCTTTTTCCACAGTTTACTAGTCAGAAGTCTGAATCAGATTTATTGGCCAATTATGCTGACACACACAAGGAATTGGTTCCAGCCGTTGGTGTCTGTCTAGTATTATATGCAATATACAGACAATGCACACATAATTTACAGACGATACACAAGATACACTGTACGCCGTATACAGGCAATAAGCAGACAATACAAGAGCAATAATATACAGAGAATGTACATATAATTCACAGACAAAATACACAATATACAAACAACATAGGGTTTAAGGAGTAAATCCTTCCTCGTGCTCTTAGGGAGGTTCTCCTTTTGAGTCTCCGTTCCTCTCGGTGGTTCTTCCTCATGCTCTTAGGGAGGTTCTCCTTTTGAGTCTCCGTTCCTCTCGGTGGTTCTTCCTCATGCTGTTAGGGAGGTTCTCCTTTTGAGTTCCGGTTTCTCTCGGTGGTTCGTCCTCATGCTGTTAGGGAGGTTCTCCTTTTGAGTCTTGGTTCCTCTCGATGGTTCTTCCTCATGCTCTTAGGGAGGTTCTCCTTTCAAGTCTCAGTTCCTCTTGGTGGTTCTTCCTCATGCTCTTAGGGAGGTTCTCCTTTTGCGTGTCGGTTCCTCTCCGTGGTTATTCCTCATGTCTTGGGGAGGTTCTCCTTTTGAGTGTCGGTTCCTCTCAGTGGTTCTTCCTCATGGTCTTGGGGAGTTTCTCCTTTTGAGTGTCGGTTCCTCTCAGTGGTTCTTCCTCATGGTCTTGGGGAGGTTCTCCTTTTGAGTTTCGGTTCCTCTTGGTGGTTCTTCCTCATGCTGTTAGGGAGGTTCTCCTTTTGAGTCTCGGTTCCTCTCTGTGGTTCTTCCTCATGCTCTTAGGGAGGTTCTCCTTTTGAGTCTCGGTTCCTCTCGGTGGTTCTTCCTCATGCTCTTAGGGAGGTTCTCCTTTTGAGTTTCCGTTCCTCTCGGTGGTTCTTCCTCATGCTCTTAAGGAGGTTCTCCTTTTCAGTCTCAGTTCCTCTCAGTGGTTCTTCCTCATGCTCTTAGGGAGTTTCTCCTTTTCAGTCTCGGTTCCTCTCAGTGGTTCTTCCTCATGTTCTTAGGGAGGTTCTCCTTTTCAGTCTCGGTTCCTCTCGGTGGTTCTTCCTCATGGTCTTGGGGAGGTTCTCCTTTTGAGACTCAGTTCCTCTCGGTGGTTCTTCCTCATGTTCTTAGGGAGGTACTCCTTTTCAGTCTCGGTTCCTCTCAATGATTCGTCCTCATGCTGTTAGGGAGGTTCTCCTTTTGAGTCTCGGTTCCTCTCGGTGATTCGTCCTCATGCTGTTAGGGAGGTTCTCCTTTTGAGTCTCGGTTCCTCTCTGTGGTTCTTCCTCATGTTCTTAGGGAGGTTCTCCTTTTGAGTCTCGGTTCCTCTCAGTGATTCATCCTCATGCTCTTAGGGAGGTTCTCCTTTTGAGTCTTGGTTCCTCTCGATGGTTCTTCCTCATGCTCTTAGGGAGGTTCTCCTTTCAAGTCTCAGTTCCTCTCGGTGGTTCTTCCTCATGCTCTTAGGGAGTTTCTCCTTTTGCGTGTCGGTTCCTCTCGGTGGTTCTTCCTCATGGTCTTGGGGAGGTTCTCCTTTTGAGTGTCGGTTCCTCTCGGTGGTTCTTCCTCATGGTCTTGGGGAGTTTCTCCTTTTGAGTGTCGGTTCCTCTCAGTGGTTCTTCCTCATGGTCTTGGGGAGGTTCTCCTTTTGAGTTTCGGTTCCTCTTGGTGGTTCTTCCTCATGCTGTTAGGGAGGTTCTCCTTTTGAGTCTCGGTTCCTCTCTGTGGTTCTTCCTCATGCTCTTAGGGAGGTTCTCCTTTTGAGTCTCGGTTCCTCACGGTGATTCGTCCTCATGCTGTTAGGGAGGTTCTCCTTTTGAGTCTCGGTTCCTCTCTGTGGTTCTTCCTCATGTGCTTAGGGAGGTTCTCCTTTTGAGTCTCGGTTCCTCTCAGTGATTCGTCCTCATGCTGTTAGGGAGGTTCTCCTTTTGAGTCTCGGTTCCTCTTGGTGGTTCTTCCTCATGCTCTTAGGGAGGTTCTCCTTTTGAGTCTCGGTTCCTCTTGGTGGTTCTTCCTCTTCCTCTTAGGGAGGTTCTCCTTTTGAGCCTCGGGTTCCTCTCGGTGGTTCTTCCTGCCACTCTTACAACTCTTCTCCATGGTAGCTACTGTATGATTTTCGGACACGGTTTACAAAGTTACTTAGTTAGTGCCCAATTTTATCAGTTGGCCTTCACTATAATTTATTACAGTACAGCAGTTACCATGGCCAAAATACAGGAAACTGGACTGGCCCTGCTTTTTATTTCTTACATAAACACTGGATATTTTAATGATAGATTGACCACTTAACTTGAAATGTCCTCGGTTTTCATTTCAGAAATCTGATCACCTCATTATGATCATATGTTTATGTCACAGCTAACAGAACATGACTTGAGTGTGATTTCATCCTCCTGGTTGAGGCAGGTGCATATAAAAAGGAAAAATATTCTTGAGTAATAATAACAATAACAATAACAATAACAATGATAATAATAATAATATTTTTTATTTATATAGCACTTTTCATGCCGGTGGCAGCTCAAAGTGCTTTACAGACAGGAGATAAATCTTAACAGTAATACAAGAAATTATAAGTATTAATTTAGAATCATAAGAAAATGACAGATCAGATTAAAGAGATGAAGACCAAAGAGCCGTAGAGTTTTACTGAAGCTCTGAGTTAAAGAGCTGCGTTTTCAGATGTTTATTAAAAGTGAGCTCTGAGCTCGACTGTCTAATAAAAGCTGAACTGAGCTCCACAGTTTAGAAGCAGAATAACTGAAAGAGTCTCTCCACGTTTTCTGTGTTTTACTGAAGGTGTTTGTAGAAGATCAGTATCTGCAGATCTTAGATCATAAACAGACACTCTGTGATGTGAGTGGAGCTTTAAGGTCATTTAGAGCTTTAAAATCTATCCTAAACGATACAGACAGCCAGTGCAGCTCTTTTAAAGCAGGACTGATCTGATCTCTGTTTTGTTGTTGTTAGGATGCTGATGCATTTTCTACGAGTTGTAAGGGATGTATAGTTTGTAGGTAAAGTCCAGTAAGAAGATCATTACAGTGATCAACTCTGCTTGTAACAAAAGTAGTCAAGTCAAGTCAAGTCAGGCTTTATACTCAGTGAAACTAAACAACATTCCTCCAGGACCAACACAGGAACACAAGTGTGAGACAATACAATAAACACAGTGCAGACAATACAGTACAGTAAATAAATACTAAAGACTTACAATAAATACAGAACAGAGCACAGGCAGCACACAGTACTGAGAGTATGTGGAGCTGTGCAAAGGAGCATGGAACATACTATGACATTAGTAGCTTAGCAGATAGCCTGGCATATATGAGCATAGCAGTCACTGAGGTAGCAACCAGAGCAGCAATATACAGTATACAGTATTTGGTTGATACAGTAATTCTAAGCCCCATTTGTCGGACCCGGAGAGGCCACTGCGTGTGTTACCGCGCCGCCATCTTGGTCTGGATCCAAGTCTTTAAATAAGATGTGTTTTCACATGTTTACCTGGGACTGGAAGGCCAATGCACTTACATTTACATCATTTAGGCTCCTATATTGTGTGTTGTAAACTGTGGACATAAATACAGAATTGTGTGTGTGCGTTCTGCAGGGTTCCATGCGTCTCAGGGTTTGGGAGAAGGTTGGTTGCCCACACTGCTCCTGCTCAGAGATTACAATATACCCTCACTGTTCACCATGTACAAGTGAGTATCACACAAACACGTCCCGTATGTATTTTATACATAGAAATACCTAAACACCAATCAGCTGTAACATCAAAACATACCTGCAGTTACAGACTGTAGTCCATCTGTTTCTCTGCATACTCTGTTACCCTGTTCTTCAGTGGTCAGGACCCCCATGGACCCCTCACAGAGCAGGTACTATTTGGGTGGTGGGTCATTCTCAGCACTGCAGTAACACTGACGTGGTGGTGGTGTGTTAGTGTGTGTTGCGCTGGTCTGAGTGGATCAGACACAGCAGTGCTGCTGGAGTTTTTAAACACTGCGTCCACTCACTGTCCACTCTATTAGACACTCCTACCTTGTTGGTCTACCTTGTCTTCTCAGTGGTTCTTTTGTCATGCTTTTACATTGTGACAGATGGGATCTTGGAAAGTGAAATTACTAATTAAAATACAATTAATATATCTAATATTTCAGATGTTGAGATTGTTGTAAACTTATTATAAGTGAGAACCTCCCTAAGCACATGAGGAAGAACCACTGAGAGGAACCGAGACTCAGAAGGAGAAACTCCCTAAGAGCATGAGGAAGAACCACTGAGAGGAACCGAGACTCAGAAGGAGAAACTCCCTAAGAGCATGAGGAAGAACCACTGAGAGGAACCGAGACTCAGAAGGAGAAACTCCCTAACAACATGAGGAAGAACCTTCTTCTTCATGCTCTTAAGGGAGTTTCTCCTTTTGAGTTAGTTAAGGAGTCATATTTCCAGTGCTGATGAAGAAAGAGAAATAAAGAACAATAATCTCTCTCTCTCTCTCTCTCTCTCTCTCTCTCTCTCTCTCTCTCTCTCAGTGATGGTGAGCTGCAGTACTCTCTGCAGATCCTGCTGGAGTTGGAGATGAACATTAAGGGCACTGGGCCGAACCCCTTCAGTTCCCAGAAGGCCGAGCAGGTGCAGTCCTGCCCCAACAAACAGCCCAGCTACTGCAACGCCTTCTACCTCCACTTCCAGGGTCTGCTGGACACGGCGCTGGAGGAGGAGCTGGAGCTGTAGAACGTAAAGCTGCTCTAGTGCTGGTTCTTCACACACACTGCTACGAGAACAAGCTACAGAATTACATCACCTCCAGTAGAACTGGTAGGACTTCATATGCTCAAAGGAACCTTCTGACAAAGTCCAGCACACAGTGACCTTCCTGAAGTTTGGGATTTTTGCATTTTTACTCAGATGTGTTTTTTTTTCTTGTAAGTGTCCTCAAGCCAGCAGATATCTTTAGAGAAGATGCATCTACAGGACAGTCTAGAACAGAACAGTAGCATGTCTATATAGAACCTTTCTGAAAATGGTTCTATATCGCACCAACAAAGGGTTCTCTTATTGTTACAAGCCTGACATTGTTATAATAGTTAAAACAGTTAAAATAGTTCTGAAGAACGATTTCTGAAGAACTATTTAATGATGCAGATGGTTCTTTGAGTGTTCATAGTTCTTTAAAGAACCCTTGAAGAACACTTTTTTAAGAGTGTACAAATGGAACAGTGGAATGTTAGAGTGTACATGTATGGAACATTCTAGAAGCAGAACCATGGATGCACTGGGAACAGACTAAACTAGTCAGAGAGGTTCTAATATAATTGGGTCTGTTATTAAGTGGCTTCCTGACAGTAAAAATAAAGGGAACTGAAGATCTAAGCTGGGTTTCTCTGTGAGAGAATTTAGGGTCTCACTTTATCTGGATAGTCCACTATAGTCCACTATAGTCCACTATAGATTATCTACAGATGTTCAAACTATTGACAAACTATCTGCTGAAACTCAGTAGATTCTAAACAGTGGTGGGGTTGGGGTTAGGATTTGGACCAGGGTTGGGATTTGGAGCAGGGTTAGGGCTAGGAGCAGGATGAGAGCTGAGTTTTGGTTCTGGGTTGAGGTCAAGGTTAGGATTAGGATTAGAGCAGGTTTAGAGTTAAAGACAATTATGGTCAGTTTAGTAGATGTTTAGTTGAATGTAACTTTAAATTAAATTAAGCATCTACAAAGCATCTAAAGTGGACTATCCAAATAAAGTGTTACAGAATTTAATGGCATTTTCGAAAATTACAACCCCCCCCCATCCCCTTCCACCCCCTTCCACCCCTTCACAGTTAGGAGGTTAAAGAGTCTTATCATGAATATCACTACATAAGTGGATTCAGTCGTATGTGAAAACACCAGTTCTGGGAAATTGTTGTTCACCACAGGGTGCGAGAGCAGCGATTTTCAAAAACTCTGTTCATTTTTCTCATAATAAAAAACAGCTCAGACCTGGAGCTCCTTATTAAAGCAATAAGACACGAGAGGTGGGTTACTGCGATTGTATCACGGGGAAGGGTGTTATTAGGCACGATGCGAAGTGGAGTAAAACTCCCTCCCTCGTGATAAAATCACTGTAACGCACTGCCTCGAGTGGCTTATTGCTAACATAACATATTAAAATGCACAATGTTTTAGATAATTATTTAAGTTATTATTAATAATAATTGACATAAGCAAGTATTCCGCCAAGAAATGTAGTTCCTTTAGGGTATGGTTTTTTTGTACAACAGTGAACATATGATAACAGCACTGTTTAATGCAAATACCTTCAGTTTATAAGTACTTTTTGGTCACCAAATCACCACCGTGAGTCATTTGGGATTCATCCACATTCATACTCGACAGGCAGTGCAGTATCTGACAGCCGAAGCTAGAATTTCTAAACTTAATGTTACACAGCTCACTATTTAGCTAGGGAGTACAGAACCGTTTGGGATTTGACGCGACTTCTGACTGAAACACAAACATTTGAAGCTTGTTAGCCATTCAGGTGACATTCTTTAGACTTTTATATTGCCATTTTTCAGTGAATCATATCGTGAGTTCTTTAATTCAAGCCTGTGATATTAATGGTGGAGGTGTTTAGCATGTTTGTTGTCTTTTAGCCTGTTAGCGACCTGACCAGCCTAGTTCTAGTTAAGAACATAAGTTGTCAGCCCCTCAGTTTAAACAGAACTGGGTTCTTACTTTATCAATATACTCGGTGATCCGTGTGATCAGCATTAGAGTCAAAGATTATTACATTAACAGCAGAAGGGTTTTCTATGCTGTGGCGCAGTGATACAGAGTTCAGTTGCTGTGATGCGGTCATTGGTGTGCATATATCATGGATTTTACTACGGCTTTTAATGCAGCTCATCAGATTAGATTTTAGGACCGGAACTATCCATTTTATAAATGGTCATAACACACAATATACATATATATATACACACATATATATATATATATATATATATATATATACACACATGGAAGCTCGGTGACAGTTCACTCTGAGAAGTTTCAGATCAATGGAGCTCGGTTTCATCTCTGAAAGGTCTCAGTGAGCTGCAGTGAGTATCAGTGCTATCAGCTACTGCCCTCTGGTGGACAGACTGTGTAAATGCACATTGTAAATACTGCTTATGCCTTAAACCAGAGATTCCCAATCAGGTTAAGTTGCAGTTAGCAGGGTTATTAGGACAAATATTGTGGAACAAATATAATTGAAAAAAGAAAAATGGCTACATTGTAAAAAAAAGAAGAAATATTTTCATATATATATATATATATATATATATATATATATATATATATATATATATATATATGAACAGTCTGGTTCCAACGTGGTTATATATCCTAATTATTCTAATATGAATCTGGATGACTTTGAAACTGAACTTCTTTGTTTTTTGTCCGTAATTTAGCTCAATTATCAGAAAATAATTGTTAAAAAGTGAAGAACAAAAGTGAGAACCTTTCCAAAACCTTTGTTTTGTTTGTTTGTTTTTGTATTCTCACACCTTACCTCAATGACAGACAATATTGATAAAATAATAAAAAGAAAACTGTAAAAATTCTTTATTTGTTTGTATTTATTATTTGTTTATTTGCATGACTAATTTTTAACAACACTAACTGCTATAAGTGAAGGACTGAAGGCGCTGATGAGCAAAAAAAAGAAGCCCCCCGGAACCAGAAAGCTCCAGAAGGGTCTTGCCCCTGCGCGGGGGGCTATATATTGCTCGTGGCCTGCCGTTCGTGCGAGGAGAGAGCAGATCAGGACGAGAGCTACCGGGACAGAACGACGTCTCCCAGCCGTTAAAGCGCTCGCGTTCATTCACCATGACCGACACGCGCAGGTAAGAGATGTTTTCTGTCTGTCTCGCGCTGTGGGCTTTGACTTACAGGCGCTCGGTGCGCTGGGTCAGGGGGTCCCGGAGTGGAGAGTTTATTTGAGCTGCTGTTTAATGTGAGCAGTAATCCTGTCACTCATTCTCTGATATGATATCCACAGACCTGCAGCTAAAAACAGCCCAGCACCTGTTACACTGGGTCTGTGGGAACGGGGGTCTGGGTGGGTGGAGCAGCTGATTGGGGGTCTGTCTGTCAATCTTCAGTATCTACCCACATGCACACGTAGACCCCCAGCACCAAAAATAGATTTCCAGAAGCAGAACTGCTAAGGTTAACTGGCTGTCCTGCTACTAAACACATTAGAACCATTAGGATTAAGACCTGCTGGTTTTGCTTTCTAATGAGAATTAGCTTAATGCTTAATGGAGACCACTAGTTTCCTGCAGGACACCTTTAGATTTCTTTAGGAAACCATCTGGAATCAGAACAGCTGTTAAAACATTAGAGTCCTTATCAACCAAACAGGAAAACATACAATTCCATTAGTGACTACTGGACACCACCAGCAACCAGCAGAACCTTTTAATGGTTTCTGTGATTAAAACTATGAGTTTTACTATGAATAAAAAACAAGGGTGCCAAAACTTTTGCGTCTTGGGCACTGTTTGAATTGGGCTTAGAGAAACTGAGAGAACATAACATTTAGAGTCGGTTATTCATTCAGCCTAATGAGAAACTGTAGAACAGACTCAGTTTATATCACAATACCTACATTTAGTCAGTATTCATTCACTAATGAGAAACTGTAGAACAGACTCAGTTTATATCACAATACCTACATTTAGAGTCGTTATTCATTCAGCCTAATGAGAAACTGTAGAACAGACTCAGTTTATATCACAATACCTACATTTAGAGTCAGTTATTCATTCAGCCTAATGAGAAACTGTAGAACAGACTCAGTTTATATCACAATACCTACATTTAGAGTCGGTTATTCATTCAGCCTAATGAGAAACTGTAGAACAGACTCAGTTTATATCACAATACCTACATTTAGAGTCGGTTATTCATTCAGCCTAATGAGAAACTGTAGAACAGACTCAGTTTATATCACAATACCTACATTTAGAGTCAGTTATTCATTCAGCCTAATGAGAAACTGTAGAACAGACTCAGTTTATATCACAATACCTACATTTAGAGTCGGTTATTCATTCAGCCTAATGAGAAACTGTAGAACAGACTCAGTTTATATCACAATACCTACATACATCTGATTTCTGTGTCTCTCTTTGTCTCTTTTTTTGTGTCTCCATGTCATTGCAGTTCTTCAGATGGTAAGGACAGTAAGCCCCTTACCTTCCGCAGTCAGAAGGAAATGTTCATGAAAATGGAGGAGTCGTTTAAATTCTGTGCCAGATGTGGAAAAAAGCCCTCAGAGGCAGCAGAAACTCTTAAACGCTGTGCAAGGTGAGGCAGATTGGGAGAACACTCTGTTGTGTGAGTTTGAAACATTCTGTGACCATAGACAGGCTCAGGGGTTTGCTCATGGTTTTCCAGCAGCTTAAATGTCTCTCTCCCTCTCTTTCATTCTCTCTTATGCAGGTGTTTGAATGTGTATTACTGCAGTAAGGACTGTCAAAAGAAGGACTGGTCTGTACACAAGCGATATTGTGCACAGCTGCGTAAAGCTGCCATAGACAGACTCGTTGAGTGGCTCATCTACCAGGGTGAGGATAGGGAATGATAATCAAGAGAGTACTTTAATATCCAGTTTTAATTTAGGTGAAAACTGTGCTCTTAGAATGGTGTTCCACAAGGTCCAATTTTAGGGTCAATAGTTTTTGCAATGGGAAACAGCTCTTTCATGTTCTAACCAATAACAGTTCATATACACACCATCTACAGTTCCTGTAACAGTTGGTCTCATGCCCTGTCATTGTCTCATCCAATAGGAGACTTGCCCTTCCCAACGGAGGCGTGGTCTCGTCCTGCTAAAGACATACGGTGCTGGGAGACCTGGCTGTCCATGCAGGGTGACCTCACGCCCCGGTTGGAGCCCATCCTGTCCAGCAAAAACATGACCGACCTCTGGACCAATGCTTGCCGGACACGCCCTGATGAGGCGGAGCTTCGTGAGTCTGTGTGGCGTGTGTGTAGCGAGTTCTTCTCACGTCCACTGACTAT